TTTAGGTCGGAGGGGGTAGCTGAAACTTCAGAAAAGCATTGAAAGTACTATTTGTTCTTGAAAATATTACAGTTAATCTCTTGGTCCCAGTCTGAGGGGAAGAAAAGATCTTTGTAAAGAAAGGCAACAAAATGCGGGTATATTTCTGTCTTCCCTGGCTGGAGTTTCAGAAGATTTGTTAACATGACTATCAGCAAGGAAAGAATTTGAGAGGTTATTTTAAAGCAGTGGATCTTAACCTGGGATCCGTGGATTCCCAAGGGGCCCACAGATGCTGTTCTGAGGGGGATGGTGGGCCCTCTAAAGCTGAATAGAAAAGTTTGTACACACAGGCCTTTTATTGGAGAGACTGTCTGTGACTCTCTTTAGAGTCTCAAATCCAAAAGAAAAAAATGAATAACTATTTTGGGGGGTATTTTTTCTTTTCTTCGTGTGGTAAAATATACATAACATAAAATCTGCCATCTTAACCATTTTAGGTATATATTCAGTGCTATTAAATAAATTCTTATTATTGTATGGCTATCACTATTATCCAACCTCATAATTCTTTTCATCTTGTAAAACTGAAAGTCTATACCCATTAAACAATAACTCCCTATTTTCCCCTCCCTCCAGACCCGGGGCAACCACCATTCTCCTTTCTGTCTTTATGATTTTGACTACTCCAAATACCTCATATAAATGGAATCGTGAAATATTTATCTTTTTGTGACTGCCTTATTTCACTTAGCATAGTGTCCTCAAGGTGCATTCATGTTGTAGCATGTGTCAGAATTTCCTTTGTTTTTAAAGCTAAATAATATTCCATTGTATGTACGTACAGCATCACATTTTGCTTATCCATTCATCTGTTGATTGACACTTGGGTTGCTTCTACATTTTAGCTATTGTGAATCATGCTGCTGTGTACATGGTATCCAATATAACTACTTTTTAAAAGCATGTTTATAAGAAAGTTTCCCCCTTTATCTTCTGAGTAAAGTTGGATAACAAGAGATTTTCAAAATCTGTGAAGTTTCCCCTGCCTCAACTGACTTTAAAGTTCTGAGTGAAAGCCCAGCCCAGCCATATACCCAAGTGGGCAAGCGCACATCTGTAAATACACATGTGCACTTGCCCACTTGGGCATATGGCTGGTCTGGTCTCTGAATGCTCTTTTTTTTCCGTAAGAAGATAACAGCCAATGCATAGAAAGCAAAGGACTGGGAAAGGCTAGTGGCATCCATGTGAGCCATTTCCAGAGTTGACCCCTGCCACTTAGCCCTATCTCCTTGGCAGTTTACCTCAGCCAAATTGGCATTAAGGATCGGCCAAAAAGGAGCCCTCACGCTATTAGGGAGTGAGCGAGGGAAGGAAGGACACCCAATTTACTTCTCCTAAAGCCGTGAGCCTGGTCCTCCTTCCTTTTCATGTCCCTGGCAATATGGTCCCTCCCTGAGTGAGTGTGAGTTTTAAAGTTAGACCTGAATTTGCATTTTCTCTCTCCCACTATCAGCTGCTCTATTTGGAGGCAGGTATTTTAATTCTTTGAATTTTAGTTTACGTATCTGTAAAACGGGGACAAAATATTTACCTCAAAATGACATTGCTAAGACTAAATGAGATCCTTAGTGCTGGGCCTGGCAATACAAATAGGAGCTGCTTCATCAAAACCTCAGCTCTGCCACAGCATCAAGCGTCATTCTGAAGTGGGGGTTTCTAATGTAAAAGTGTTGCTAGACCTGTTCGAGATTTTCTTTCTTTATGTAACTTTGGGGAATGGAAACAGGCAGGTCTACTAAATAAACTGAAAAGATAAATCTGGATTTAGTGGCTGAAAAGATGGAAGAGTTAAAGGCTAAGCTTGGACAGGAGCAGAGAGAGGAATAAAGATCTGTTATTATCTGTAATACGAGCATAGGGGTTGGCAAAAGAGGGAAAGGCTGTGTCACCTCTCCATTGGGACATCCTTGATGTACCCTTACCTCTCCACAGCACACGAGCACAACTCCTGCGTGAGGGAATGTGCTTCACATTCCTCTGAATATTTTAAAAGATGATTTATCTGATCAACTGCATAATAAAAGTAAAATATTATGCTGTTTATCTCTAAACATCAACAGAATCAAAAACAGGAAATAAGCCACGCACACATACACACACATACAACCCACTTCAACCAATTCATTGTTTATAAGCTCTATATCACTATTTATACAGAATTAATTTTACATAGCTGCTACCATTATGTATATACCATTCAGTCCTACTTTTTTCCCACTAATTTATTTAGATCCCCCCATTTCTATAGCTCTCATATCCTACTTAACATTCCAAGTGGCAATATTTATATTGATATGTTTTATATCTATATGATAAGCTTTGGGTTTAGTTTTTTATTCTAAGGTAAATGTCCTTTTATATACATACTCAATGTTATTTCAATACAAATTCTACCTTGTCAACAGCTTTGATAAATTTTATGACATTTGCCAACTTTTACCAATGTACTCTCTGAAAAGATTGTACTAATACTAATCAAGACCTCCAGCCGTGAATAAATATACCTAAAGTAGAATTATTCCCATCTTTCCCAACACTGAACTTTGTCACTTTTTTTTGCTAATTTAATGAGAGTGAAGTATTTTGTAGTTGTTTTAATTTTCAATTTTAAAGTTATAATAAATGTGAACATTTTCCTGTTTTTTTCTTTTTTAAAACTGAACAGTTTTCGTCTCTTTTTGTGTGAATTTTCTAATCCATGGGTTAGCAAACTATGGCCCCCGGGCCAAATATTGCCAGCTGCCTATTTTTAGAAATAAAGTTTTATTGGAACACAGCCAAGTTCATTTGTTTACCTATTTTCTGTGGCTGATTTTGAGCTACAATGGCAGAGTTGAGTAGCTGCAACAGAGCAAAGTCTAAAATATTTACTATCTGGCCCTTTACTGAAAAAATTTTCATACTTGAATTAGCTTTTGTTTGCTCTTGCTCTACCGTACTTTATGTTCCAGTAATATCAAAGAGGACTTGTAGCTCCCCTCATATTATAATTTGTGTTTTGGTTTCTTTGCACATGCTCTTCCCTCTGTCTGGAATTTCCAAACTCCACTTTGCCAGAAAGGTTCACCCGTCTAAACACTCCTTGAGAGGTGCTCATGCTATAAAGCATTCTCTTTAATTCAAATTCACAACTTTACTTTTTGTCAGAAGACATTGACAGTATGAAAATAAAATTTAAAAAAAAGCAACAACAACAACAACATAACTCTGAGAAAGCACTTTGTAAAACTACAGGGTGCTGTACAAAAAGTAACAACTTCTAATAATAACTATTATTATCCTTAGCAGCATCAATACCCACCTTTGTTTCTATTTTTACTTTAGACCATTAACAAGGAACTTTTTAGACCAAAGCACTCCGGAAGACCAGGAGGCTCTCATGAAATAAAGGATCTGATAATAACTTTCTTATAATACTGCTTTATAAAATACCAAAAAATTAGTGGGGTGCCTGCACTAGTTATTTTGGCAACACCAGAGGCCAATTTGGAACAATTATATGCACCTCATCAATTATTGAATAACCATTAAGAAGACTCGAAACACCGATGGACCAAACAAAAGAGCCCAGCCCGCTATGTTATCCTTCTGTTTGACTCAAGAGACAACAGTTTAGAATATTTGGAATTCTAGAGAAACAATAAATATAAAATCCTGAAAAAATATGCTCAACTATAAAGTCATTCTATCTTTTGGTTTCAGGTAATTGTGCAAAACCAGACAAGATAATATCTTGGGGAAGAGTTTCATTTATCCAGAAGAAAAGGAATCTGAACTAAAATTATATCTTATGAATCCAAAATGATGCCTAGCATCTCTGGGAATTCTCCTACTTATCTTTCCAAAGTGTCTACTAGAAGAACACTGAAATTACTCTGCATTTCTCTCTCTCCCTCACACCACCCCTCCCTCCACAAATATATATTTTTATTTTCTCTCTAATGGGTCTACATTCCTCTCTCTTATTGCTCCTTCCTTCCAAAACATCTCAGAAAATATTTTCATGAAATGTTATATATAAAAATTATAGTTAGTGTATGTGTGTGTGTGTTAATATAATTTACTAATTTAAACAATGATCTCTGGGGTATCTGGGAAAGAGCTTAGAGATTTCCATTTGCTTTGTGAAAAGTTTAATATATGTATTGAAAGCCACAAGGCGAAGGTTCATATTATGCAAGTGAAAGCTTGAGCGGTTTTGAATGCTCAGTCCCAGAGACAAAAGCTCTTAGTTCTAACTGCATTTCTGGAAAGAAGGGCGCCAGTTCGTTTACCACTTCCATTAAGGAACAACTACTTATTTTAGTGATGCCTTTCTCTCAGGAAGTGCAATATATAGTAAGGGCAGAAAAATAAGCAAAGGAGGAAATTCGTTATTGATTTTCGTTTCTTCTGTGAAATTACATGAAAGCTCAATTGCTTGTAGCAGTAACTAAGTCAATAAGGCTCCATTTGAGACCACCTTGAAGTTCAGTTCTCTCCCGATCCCTTTAAACTTCCTCTAATGTCAGATTCTTTTTTATTTAATTGTCTTTGGTGCTGAGATACTATGAAGCTTTTTATTCATAACACCACAGAGAGGATGTTGCTAAAGGTAACCTGTGAATTATTCCCAGACAATAAAAGTTCCTTCACTCCTTTTTGGTTAAAAATCAACAACGCTAAATACCAAACCTGAAAATCCAAGAGGAAAAAAAAGAGATGAAGATGGTGAACATTCAGACTCCTTATTGAAAAGCAATTTTTCAGTATGAGGATGTTACTGGGTTTCCTTGGGTTTGAACTATAGAAGGACTAAGCATGGTGTTTTCTCCTGTGGGGTGGGGGAAGGTTGTTTATGTCAGACTCACCATTATATGTGTGTACATTTTGTTCATAACACTTGCTGACATTTACTGGACATTTACTGCATGCTAGATAGTATGTTAAGTCTACATATGGTTTCTGTTCCGTAGGGAAGCAATAAGTCGCCTGTGTGAAGCTGTTCCTGGGGCAAACGGAGCCATTAAAAGGCGTAAGGTAAATATTGATATGGTTTTGTTTTATGTTTCCCCAACTATGGGAAAGATAATATAGAAATAGTTGTTAGGTCATTCTACCACATCACCTATGGTTTATTAGTTGGCATGATATCAGAGAGGCACTCAAAGTTGTTCTGGTCCCTCAAATATTTCCAACTTGCCTGACGTTGCCTTTAATGGTGATGCCTACCGTGACAGAATAGAGAAAACACGTGGGTTTCATGTCAGAAAATCTGAGTTCCAGGCCTGGGTCTTTACTTTCCTTTGAACATGATATCTCATCTCTCTGAGACTCCATTCTTGTTCCTATAAAGTTAAGTTATTGAACCAGATGACCAGTTTGGTACCTTCCAATCTGAATATGATATAGGTATGTATTCTGCATTTTAACATTTTAGACTTTTTAAATTCCTTGACCTATTTTCCAATGGAAACAAGGATGCTGGTAGAGGTGAAATAATAACACATGGGTGGGAGACTTTCATGCTGAAAGAGCGCAAGTTTTGATGTTACACAGACTTGGGTTTAAATCCTGCCTCTGCCACCTACTGTTAAAAGAACAAAAATTTAATTCAGTAAATTTAGAGATCTAATTGGTTTTATTGAGTGATTCATGAATCAAGCAGCATCCCATTTAGTAAATAGAGAGGTGCTTCAAGAAGCTGTATAATATAGAAGGTTTTTATAGGCAGAAACTGTGCAGGACAGGGAAAATTTTTAGCAAAAGAAAAGAAAGGATTGCTTCAGGCAAGGTTACCTTCCCTTAGGAAAAAGCGGAGGTCTTATCAGGCAGATTGCCTCAGTTTCCTTTGTGGGATGGGCCTACATAAGAGATTACCTCATTGGTACTAATCAGAAAAGTCCAGATTGACTGATTAAGATTACATTCCTAATCAGGAGAAGGTTGAAACCGCCATTAGGTCAGGTGTTAAGTCTAGGTTCAATGTCATGGGCTTGACATTGAACTCCATTTGGGGCCTGTGGTTTTTCTCTTTAACACTACTAAACTGTGTGAGCTTGGATAAGTCACGTCATCTTTTGCTTCCTCATCTGTAAAATGGGAGAAAAATAACACTTACTTTATAGAGTTATGTAAGAATTAAATGAAATGATGTCTACAGAGTACCTAACAGTGCCTGACATATGCTAGACTTTTGACAATAACGTAGTTAGTATTATTGCTATTAAGCTATTAACCCTAGAATGTTTAATTGCTTCAGAAACAACAAAAGAGATGTATAAAGGCTCTTCAAGTAACAATATAAGTCATAGAATTGTAAACTGTTTAAGAGGGAAGGGATTTTTAGCAATCTTCCAATCTAACCTTCTCATTTTGCCAGCTACTAAACTGTGGCTCAGAGAAGAGATTTGCCTTGAGCCACTGGGACTGTGAAGGGCGGTGTCAGCTGTAGAAGCCAGGTCTTCAGATTTCCAGCCTAGTGGTCTATTTCTGTACCACCCTGCCTCAATTTTTTTTTTCTTAATCATTCTTCATCATTTTGAATAGAGCTGAACCCAGTGTAACCCAGAATGACTCAGATGAGCCATGTGGTATGGAAAACTCTAATACATGCCCTTTGAATGCTATTAGAACTCCCTATTACTAGTTTCTTTGACAGAACCCATGGCCTCAAAGTAGCCTCTAGCCTCCTCCTGCTTTCTCATAATCTCTGTGAATAGGATGTTTCAACTGGATGATCCCAACAAACAGACTCATTCATTTAAGACATTTTCATTTCAGGAGAAGGGAGTCCACACCCCAAAACAAAACAAACCAAGCTATCACAGTTCCAGAAAGTACACCTGTAAAGGAAAAAAAAAAAAAAAAGAAAGAAAATTTTGAGTTAATTTTCTTCAACAGCTAGCATTTATTGAGTACTTAATATTTGCCAGGGACTCTTCCAAGCACTTTATAGTTTTTTTATACTTTTTTCCATCAATTAAAAAAATGTGATAAAGTACACATAATATAAAGTTTACCTATTAACCATTTTTAAATGTATAGTTTAGTGATATTAAGTACATTCCTGTTGTTGTGCAGTCTTCATTACCATCTATCTCCAGAACACTTTTCATCTTGTAAAACTGAAACTCTATATCCATTAAACAATAACTCCCCCCACCATTCCTCCCTCTCTCCAGCCCCTGACAACCACCATTCTACTATGGGTGTGTATGTGTGTGTATGTAAGTGTGTGTATGTGTGTCAAATTCTGCTTTATTGGAATAAAGACAGTAGGCAACAGGAATCACACTTCGTTAACCATTCTACTTTCTGTCTCTATGATTTTGACTATACTAAGTACTTCATAAAAGTGAAATCATACAGTATTTGTCATTTTCACTTAGCATAATAGCCTCAAGGATCATTCATGTTTGGCACATATCAGAATTTCTTCCTTTTTAAGGCTGAATAATATCCCATTGTATGTATATATTGCATTTTGCTTATCTATTCATCTGTCAGTAGATACTTGGGTTATTTCCTTGTTTTAGCTGCTGCGAATAATACTGCTATGAACATGGGTGTTCAAATATCTGTCCAAATCTCTGCTTTCAATTTTTTGGGGATATATAACAAGAAGTGGAATTGCTGGATCATATAGTAATTTTATTTTTCATTTTTTGAGGAATCGCCATACTGTTTTCTATAGTCGTACCATTTTACATTCCTGCCAATAGTCCACAAAGATTTCAATTTCTCTGCATTCTTTTTAACACTTTTATTTTCTGTTTTTGTTTCTTGTTTTTTTTGACTAGTTATAAGTCTATCCAGATTTTTTTTTCTTTATGATTTAATCTGGGTAGGGCTAATGTTTCTACGAATTTGTCTATCTTTTCTAGGTAACCCAATTTGTTAACATTCAGTTGTTCATAGTACTCTCTTATAGTTCTTTTTATTTCTGTTGAATCAGTAATAATGTCCCCATTTCACATCTAAAGCTAATAATTTGAGTCGTCTTTGTCTCTTAGTCCATCTAGCTAAATGTTTGTAAATTTTGTTGATCTTTTTGAAGAATCAACTTTTGGTTTTGTTGATTTTCTCTGCTGTTTTTTTAATCTCTATATCATTTATCTGTGCTCTAATCTTCATTTTTTTCCTTCCTTCTGCTAGCTTTGAGTTTATTCTTCTTTTTTAAGTTCCTTAATCGTAAAGCTAATTTGTTGATTTGAGGTCTTTTTTCTTTTTCAATATATGTTTATTACTATAAATCTCCCCTTATGTACTGCTGCATCCCATAGTTTTGGTGTGTTGTGTTTTTCATACTCTTTTAATCATCACAAAAAACCTAGACAGCAACTTTTTCTTTTTTTAATACTCCTTGGTGTTCAAAAGGACTTGAGAGTTCCGCTAGTCCAAACTCTCACAGGGATTCCTTTTATATGAAGCAGGACCCTACTCCCAACACCTGGGGAGAAAAGAATGTATGAGAAAAGTTCTGAGGGCTCAAATTTCACTACTTAGTAAAGAATTTGCTGCATTCCAATTTTTTTAAAAAAGTTTTTATTTAAAAAAATCATTTCATCTCTTTTGGTAAAAATCATTTCATCTCTTTTGATAAAATAGAAGAGTATGGGCTTTGATCCATTTTTAACATTTATAAAATAAACATTCATTCTGTAACAAAATTCATAACTTAGAGTGTTGTTTTGTTATCTTTAAAGCCTCCAGTTAAGTTCCTATCAACAGTTCTGGGCAAAAGTAACCTTCAGTTTTCGGGAATGAATATAAAACTGACCATCTCAACATACAGCCTTACACTGATGAATCTCGACAACCAACAGGTAAGATCATGAATGTCATTTATAGCTTAACATATTATCTATTTTTCCAGAGGAGCCTGGGCATAATAGAGAGAATATAGTTTCAAACAGAATATGCCTAAAATTTACTAAGGCACAGGGGGAAAAAATCTGCCAAGGATTTATGCATAATAATAATTAGAACAGCATTTTTAACTCATCATTGGGATATTTAACTGCCTGCATACTTGCCCCTACCTAATTGGCTTTGTAATAAGAACTAAGGGGTAAACAATATAGGAAATACCATTTGACAACTTGTATTCTTGAATCAGTCATTTGTTACTCTCCACTCTCCACCAACCCTCCCTAAAGAAAAAGCAGTTTGATTATCAGAGCTAACAGACTGTGTGTTGGACTCAGGGTAAAGATAAAGGACAGAGAGGAAGAGTTAATGTTCTAGCTAACTGAAATTTAAGCAGAAAATATTTTCTTCCAACCTGTGATGTTGAAAGCTTTTTAAAGTATTTTTAAACATAACTTTTTTTCATCTTTGATGATTTATGATACTATGGTGTGCCTGAATTTTCATTGTGAACTTTCTCAAAAAACAGCATTACTGAAGGAAATACAAAAGACATACAAGCATTGGACTGAATGTGTATCTTTAAAAAAGGATGCTTTTTGACTTGATTTTTTAAACTAAATTCTTTATATCAGGTTATTTATGTGTATTAGAATTTAATTTTTCTTTGTCTAATATGTAGTGATTTGAGGTTTCTTAAAAGGTTTTACTATATGGAGTGCTGTTGAGCAGAGACTCATGGAAGGTTTAATGTGTACTTGGCAGTGATAAAACACTAATATTTTGAGATAACATATAGGTTGAAATCCTGGCTTTGCCATTAATGAGCATGTTAACCTATCACTCAATTTTCCTCAACAGTGAAATGAGGATCATAGTACCCATTCATAGAGTTTCTGAGAGGATAGATTTAGCAATAGTTAATGTCTCATAGGATTATTTAGAGGATTAAGTAAGATCATGTATGTAAATCACTTAGCACAGTGCCAATCACATGACATTTATTTTTATTATTTACTCAAACATTCTTCCCTGAGACTTTTTCATATACTCAATACTTAACAGGGAATCATATTATAATATACAAAATTATAAAATTGTCAGTAACATATAAGTACAGTTATATATATTTTGACTTCCGTTTTTTGCCAAAAAATTCACTTGTGGTTTTGAGGACTGGGCTGCTTTATAGTCTAAATTAAAAATCAGAATAAAATATATTGATTACAGAGTAGTATAAATCATCATAGAGGAAAATGCTTAATATGAGACAGTTCAAAATAGATTCCCATTCAGTTGGATCCAAATAGATTCCCATTCAGTTGGATCCTTGGATCCTTGGTTATCTAGCAGAGGTGATACGATTGGTATAAAGACAGCAGAACATTTGGGGCTGTAGTTGGAAGATGCAACTTCTGGGTGGAAGGTAAAACATTCAGTCTTTCAGGTGCTTTGCCCTCAAACATTTGTAGATGCAGAATTCATTCTTAGTTTTCACCCATGTATATGGTACCAGGGATGCTTAACGCCTTTATGAGATCTCATTGAGTATAGGAGCCCTTGAGTTATCTGACTTTTGTAGAGGAGGAAGAGTAGGCAGAGCTAGAATATGGTGACAGTCTTAAGTGCTGAATCTGAGTGTTTTAAAAAATGGCTTTTGCCATAAGGTTACTAAAGAAATAGGGAATTTAGGAAGAACAGAGTTGTGGAGGGCATAGTTTATTCTTAGCATTTCCTTTTCCTCCACTACCTTTTTCTAGGCCACTGCAATTAGAGGTGGTATTTCCACACACCCGTAATTTTTCTGGCAGAATAGAGGTAGGGACAGTGGGCATGGTTAACTTCCACTACCAGTAGTTATAGCAATGAGATACCTTTGAGAGTGAATCACATCTTTCCTGCACTGGTGGCATGGAATGGGGTTGTGTTCAGCCTGCCATTGGAATGGGGACCAAAGTTAGGATCTCGCTGATATATATAATAGTTCCAAGTAATTTTGAACTATTCTGTAGGCCTGGGGAAAATGGTTTGGGATGCAGGGGTTGTATAAAAAAAAAAGTGCCACAATCTAGATGCTTCAAGAAGCTTTTTATGTCCTCTCAAAAGGGCAACTAAATGTTCAAGGGATGAAGGCAGCAGAAAAGCAGTCTTATGGCTGCAGCATGAGAAAAGGATTTATTAATTAAATCCTCCTTAAAGAAAGCCACCCTTTGAAGTTCTAAGATAAATACAGATACTAATGTCTCCCACCCCACACTCCTTAACTTCTAAAATTTGCTTTGGACTGAAAACATAAATAGGTTCAAGTTTATAGATACATTCATAGATGACAGAGCTTTTATGAGTCAAATGGTTCACATTTATTTTCAGCCACTGAGAACTTCAAAAATATAGCCATTCACTCCCAGAAAACGTCTTATAGAATCTCAGAGACAGAAAATAAAATCTATATTAAACACATAATGCTTGCAATTTTTAAAACTTACCATATATTTTGGGATGGACAAATATATTTTGGAAAAGCAAGTTATGTGTTTCTGTTTTTGTTTTTTTTGGCATATTCCTTTGTTTTAAACATTTAAGCAATAAGTTCTTTGACATACTTTAATATAGTATTTCAGGGCCTTAAGCAAGAATGTGTCTCTGTAGCTTCCACTCCTATTTATTCATTTCTATACTCCTACCACCAACTCTAACAGCTACTGAAATTGAAAAGGGTAATAAAGAGATTAAGAAGGTAAAACAGGCAGAAAATGAAGACATCTTTTAGTCTAAAATATCTAGAGGCCAGGCAGGTAATGCAAACTGTTTAGGTACAAGAAAAACAATGGTGTAAGCACAGTGATAAATGGTAACACTTGGATATCTGTTGGTGAGACAACACTGGGGAACATGCCAAACAAAATGCTTTCCATATGTAAAGGTGAATCAGATACTTTTTCCCATGTCACTATAGGTCAAGGGCTGCTAGATCCTACACTTCTGAAAAAAAAAAAAAAGATGGATATCTGAGAGTTTTGCTGCTCTCTCTGGGTTAAGTGTTGGTCTTTAAATTAAGAAATCGAAAATTATTAAGCTTGAGCCAAACAAAATAGATCTGTGCCCTTAGGGCAGCCAATGTGGGATATCTGATTTAAGCAAACATTTATACTACTTATGAATAGATCCAGAAAATGCTCCCAAACCATACTATATACTCCTAAGCTCAAGTTCCTTCTACCCACGTCACAAAATCAGGATCAGAATTTCCCCAGAACTCCTTTATTTCCCATTAAATGAAGATATACATATATCTAATCCCTATTTTCAGTTCAAGATCCTGAGGCAGAAAGATTTAAGTAATTTATCCAGTTAACAAAACTGGTAGGTAGTGGAACCTAGATTTGTACCAGGTAGACTGGTTCCAGTCTGTGATAACTTTTGTAATAGAAATACATTTGATTTTATACCCCTAAAAATGGTGTTTAAAATGTTATAATCTTCTATCTTCAGTAAATTAGTGTTAATTTCAGTGGTCTCCGAGGTTACTGCTTATTTTTAAGACCACTAAACAACCATCGGAGGAGTCAACTGCAGAATCCAGGTCTTTCTCCACAAAAATAAGCCTTCAAATCCCAAGAGGGCTTGGTTTTCCCCCCTCCTCTGTACTCACTTGGTCCCAGAGAAACAGAACCATACCTCTGGGTTTGTAGACCTGTTTTTTTTCTCTGAGCTTATTTCATGGCACCTTATCTGGAAGTAAATGCAACTAGTCAGTTCATTGTGTACTGGCATCTTTTTTTTTTCAGAGTACCATTAATTCACATCACACAAGCAATTATTTATTCACAGACTCATCTGACTGCAGCTACAAGCTGTCTGAAAATGCAGTGAAAGTGAGGCATGGGGGAGGCAGTAGGATTAAGTCATTTGTCACCTCCTGTCTAGTCTTTCCCCCACCTATCTCTCTTCCTCCCCACCAAGCTAGTGTTTATGATCATCCTGTCAGTCCCATATTTTACAGAACAGAACTCCTTTCTCTAAAAGAAAAGGTGACTGTAACATAAGTAAGGCTGTGTTGTCCTGTTATATTGGATGTGTCCTTTACTGCCATAATGGAGCAGGGACATCTAGTACATTTTTATTGATAAGACCTGTTGATATACTGTTTTATTGGTCACAGCCTTCTGACATAATTATCATAGAACTTTAGAACCTTAATAACCATAGCAACAGGCTCATTAATAGTGCAGGTTTTTCCAAGTTGGCAAATTCTCTTAAAGGACTTTTACTAAGTTTAGTTTCCACAAATTAACTTGTAAATCAGGTATTTGAAGCTAGAGTACTTTCCCTTACAAATAGTGGTTAAATTTAAATCATAGTGGTTGCAATAATAAAAATAGCACAACCATACCTCCGGGTTTGTAGACCTGTTTTTTTTCTCTGAGCTTATTTCATGACACCTTATCTGGAGGTAAATGCAACTAGTCAGTTCATTGTGTACTGGCATCTTTTTTTTTTTCAGAGTACCATTAATTCACATCACACAAGCAATTATTTATTCACAGACTCATCTGACTGCAGCTACAAGCTGTCTGAAAATGCAGTGAAAGTGAGGCATGGGGGAGGCAGTAGGATTAAGTCATTTGTCACCTCCTGTCTAGTCTTTCCCCCACCTATCTCTCTTCCTCCCCACCAAGCTAGTGTTTATGATCATCCTGTCAGTCCCATATTTTACAGAACAGAACTCCTTTCTCTAAAAGAAAAGGTGACTGTAACATAAGTAAGGCTGTGTTGTCCTGTTATATTGGATGTGTCCTTTACTGCCATAATGGAGCAGGGACATCTAGTACATTTTTATTGATAAGACCTGTTGATATACTGTTTTATTGGTCACAGCCTTCTGACATAATTATCATAGAACTTTAGAACCTTAATAACCATAGCAACAGGCTCATTAATAGTGCATGTTTTTCCGAGTTGGCAAATTCTCTTAAAGGACTTTTACTAAGTTTAGTTTCCACAAATTAACTTGTAAATCAGGTATTTGAAGCTAGAGTACTTTCCCTTACAAATAGTGGTTAAATTTAAATCATAGTGGTTGCAATAATAAAAATAGCACATAGAGTATATATGCAATGCTATTAGCCGAACAAAATACACAGAACAAGAAATTTTATTATCTTGAATGCTGGTGTATAACCAATAACAAGCTTAATTAGAGGAGGAGACAGAGGGAAACTTCAGATACTGAGGTGGATTTCTGGACAGGTTTAAAACCTTTAAAGGTTGATGGCATAATTGTTCATAAAGTCTTTTTTAAACATAGGGCTTTCCTTTTACTTGACAATTTTCACTTAACAGTTCTTATGTTATGAAGTTCGTCCAGTCTTTTGCCTGTAAAGTTAAATGAAAAACAGCGAGTAAAACAGAAAATTTCTCTAGTATATGTGTTAGCTTTCCTTTATACTTTCACATACTTTTTAATGTCTAAATTTGAAAATTTACTTTTTCATTTCTGACTTTTAAAAATGGTCAAAACAATTTTCTTGAATTACAGATCACAGTTTTATAAATGATCAAGATACATGTACAAACAAAATTTCAGATGCTCCTGAAAACATTTTCAGATACAGTACACGTGATACATATTTCTTTTGGAGTTTGCTTATCCTTCTGGGATACTAAGAATACTCAATTTATCTTAAACTAAAAATTTAGCCTTTGATAACTATGGCTTGGATAGATCACAAAGTGGAATCTTCAACGTTTTCTTAATAGGCTTTCAGTCCAAAAAACTCAAAGATATCTCGTGTTCTAAACTGGATATATTACTTTTTCTCATGTAATTAGTATCACTGGGCTCTTGTACTGGTAGTTTGTCTTGGCCATTAGTTTTTCTTGCAAAACCATCCTGTACAGTGAAATAGGAAAGTAATTTTCCCCAATGCAAAGAAAATAATCTGGATCAATAACAGAGTCAAAGCCATACGTTTCAGGACATTTCTGTAAACAGGTTTCAACAGTCCTAAGATCCTTTAACAGTTTTTTCCCCCTTTATCATACCTGTGCAGTCACTGCCCTATTCTATTCTGTGAAACAAAATTCTTTTTTGAAGATCAAGTTTTTCATTGGCACGGAACTATTTGGAATAAACCCAAGAGACAGTGGAATGTTGGGTCTCTCCTCAAGTAGTTTCCTCCTCTGGTAACTGCATTTAACTACTCTCTATCAATAATCTCATCACAGCCGAGTTCTTCGGTCAGGCGATTGACAACCATAAGTGAAAAAAGCTCTTCGATGAAAGCCAACTGATCAAACGGGGTCTTCTCATAATGCATCTGAAAACCGCCATCCAGGGCTGCTTCTCTTGCTCTGGATGTTCTCAGAAACATCTTGTTGGCTTCTTCAAGGGCTGCTGACACTCTGTAGCCTGCACCACTCAGTTGCTCCTCTTCAGGATAGTCGTAGTCGTCCTCCCAGTCATCAAATTCCTCGCCCTCGTCCTCGCTCTCAAAGTCAGGACCCGCGATCTGGCCTGGCTGCTCCCCAGGGCTGGGCCGATTAGCAAGGCCTCGTTCCCCCTCTGGCTCCGCCATTGGCAGGGCCGCCTCCTCCTCCATTGGGCCTTCCTCCTCCAGCTGTGGCGGGGCCCTGTTGCGGGAGGGGTTCGGGGTTGGCTCCCGGCTCCCGCTGCCTACCTCCATCTGCGGAAGGTCACCCTCGCCAGGCATCACATCCATCTGCAAATCGTTGCTTTCTTCATATAGCTCGCACAGCTCGTTCATTTCCGACATTGTGCAAGCAGCTCAACCTCTTGCAAGACGTTTTCAGCAAGCTCGGAGCTACGCGGCCGTGTGGTTGTGCGCGTGCGCAAACTGCGTGCGCGACCCTGTGCGTATGCGTGACCCCCAGACACCGCCTCCCGCTCGGCACGCTAGCTACTCGTGTGCTAGCCGCTCGCTTGCGCCGCGACCTGTCCGCGTGTTTTGCTGGTCTGTGTTTCGTTCGATTGGAAGTTCACCTGAAGACTGTGCATGCAAGAGCATTAATTCGTCTCTGCTTCACTTAACTGTTCTGCTGCTTTTGATGCTATAAACTGGAAGTTACGTGCCTACTGTAACAGCGCTTCATCCTCCTCTTGACTCCTTTCTTCCCCTTCTGCCCCACCTTCTCCCAGCATCTCAATCGCATCTGTTCTTAGGTTTTAACTACCTTTTATCTGCGCTAAAGACTTCTAAATCCACACCTCCAACCACACTGTTCTCAACCACAAAGCGACATGTTAAGAACTAATCTATTCAGCCTTTTTTCCATTTTCTTCATTAGAAAAAGTTAAATTCAAACTAAGCATATTATCCGTGTCCTTTTACAAAAGTTATAGTGAGGAAATAGTTGGTCCCATTTCTTTTCGCAAGAGGTAACTTTCCACTATTATCAATTTGTTTGTATTCTTTAAAATCTTTTTCTTTGCATTTTCATGGATCTTAGGTCCTCGTGGAAAAATCTTTCGTTTTAAAAAAGCCTCACATAACTGTCTTCAACTTAAAAAATAACCCCCTCAGCAATGTCTTGAAAATTTATCTTTGTTACTATACATATTTTCCCCATAGTGTTCTATTTGTTTAGTTATACTATAGTTCACCTAACTATGTGAACTAAATTATAAACTATGGGTAAATGAATGTCAATATGTGCCAGTGTTTCCCCAGAATAAATACATAGCCGTGGAAAGGGGAAATCCTTTAGTTTTAATAAGTATTGTCAAATTGCTCTCCAAAGTTTCTGTACAATTTAAGCTCTAGCCAGCAGTGTTTGAGAATAGCCAAACCCTTGTCACCCTTTGCGAACTTTAACAGTTTTATCAGTTTAATTGTATCTTGTTTTATTTCGAATAGTCTTGATTTCTTGAAGATTATCTTTCAGTATGTTTATCAAACATTTGTATTACTTCTGAAAATTATCTGGTCTTATTTTGGATTTATTTCTTCTTTTTATTGAGTCATAGAGATTCCTTTTAAACCCTGTAAGTGAATACTTTGTTTTACATGTTGCAAATATATTCTCTGTTCCTGTTGTTTGTCCTGTTGTTTGTTCTGTTTCAGGGGTCTTATACAAAAGTTTTAAAATGAATTTTTATGTAATCAAATTTGAGTTTTTTTCTTTTCTTTTTTTTAAATATTAAAATGGGTTTTTCCTACCTCAAAGATCATAAGCATAATCATTTATCTGTCTTCTGATCTTTTACGAATCAAACATTTATATAAGTAGTATGAGAACAGGATTTATTTATACACTTTTTCCATATATATAGCTAATTCAGCCAACTCCACTAATTGAATCACTTGTCCTTTTGTCTGCTGTTTAGAACCATGTTTATCATAGACTTAGTCCATAAATATGTGAATCTGTTTTTAGACTTTGTATTCTAATGAATTTCTATAGTTTTATAAAATACCTTGCTAACAGAGAAATGTCTCTTTGTCCTTTAAAAAATTACTTTAGTTTTTAAAAATTTTTTTGCATATTTATTCTTCCAGGTGAATTTAGAAGCAGCATGAAAAGTTCCCTGAATGACAGTGGTGGAATTTTTGTTGGAAGTGCATGCAAATTATAGGCTAATTTGGGGGAGAACTGACATCTTTACACTACCCAAGTCAAGAAACGGCACTTGCAGGGTCCCAGAAAACCGCTTGCTCTCTCTTCCTTTGCTCAAAAAGTAACCACTCCTGACTTCAAACAGAATAAAATAATTTTGCCTATTTTTGAACTTTGTATAAATTAAACCGCACAGCATATATTCCCATGTCTTGATTTTATTTTATTTTTTGACCAAGAAACACGTTGCTATGTAGTATGTAGTAGTTCAGTGTTTGAATATCACAATAGTCATCATTGGAATTTTTTCCAGTTGCTGGCTATTATGAAAAGGGCAGTGATTATCTTTCTTTAGAATATCTTTTGGTGTTCACATTTACACATTTCTGTTGGATATACATCTAAGAGTAGGATTTCTTGGTCATCTTAAATAAGCAACTTTAGTTGATCAGAATCTACTTCTGAAGACAGGATTAGCTAATAGTTTAGGTATTTTAATAAACTTCAAAACAGTATGACAAATTCATGTTTGCAAATTGGTCATTACACTGTGGGAATTACAAAAAAGCAATCCTAGAATCTCGAGTAAAAGAGACAGTCTTCTTGGCTAATGCAGTTAATTTGGATAGTCTTACTTCATATTGGAAATCTTAATGTTAGTGCCTTAGTTAGGATACTTTTGGCGGCAAATGACTGAAACCCAATTCGAACTAAATTATATAAAAATAAATTAATAAATAAAATAAGAAAAAAAGATAATGAGAGACGGGAAATATATTGGTTGAACTGTATTGGTAACAAATGTTACCACTAGACTTTCTTCTATTTTTATCTCTCAGCTGATTTTCTCCAGAGGGAAATCTTTTTTTTTTTTTTCCCCCCCACACATCAGGAAAAGATGGCTCCCAGAAGCTTTCTTTCCTGTTGTCTATTTTAGTTCTTCCCCAATGACACTGATTGTCTCTGCAGTATCCAGATGTCTTTTGATTGGTCTGGATCATATGTCCACCTGCAAGGAAGAGGCAATGAGATGAGCATGACAAATCCACATGAACCTCATGGTCCAAGTGAGACTATTATGGCATGAAGGTTGGAGTGGTTTCCAAAGGAATATTGTTCAGGCAAAAACAAAACAAACAAATGTATGTCCATCACTGTTAGATTATATGTAACTAGGAGTAATTAATTTATAGCATCATAAATGTTTAATTTATGTTTTCCAGATTATTGCAAATCATCATATGCAGTCTATTTCATTTGCCTCTGGAGGGGATCCTGTAAGTATGGATTCATAAAAGTTTTTTTATAAGAGTCAAAAGAACTTCCACATAAAGCATATTAGCCACTATGTGTCTTTTCCAAATATTTTATTACAATTTGTAAGTAGCCACATGTAACACGTAATCAAAAATTTGGTTTTGACAAAATATTTCTTGCCATTGATTTAAAAAAAAATGTTTGGATTAGTAGATGAGCTAATAATACTTCATTGTGTTATTAGCCATGGAATTATCATCTGAAAGGTTTCTTGTAGATAACATCAAAGTTATGAAAAACAAATATGTCATGTGTGTGTTGCCAGTCCTTCGTCAGAATTCTTCTCAATACAAATTTCCAGGTAGATCCAAATAATCATTTGGATTTGGCAGATGAGGGGAAGCCCATCTGCCATACTTGACAACTAAGTCTAATCTAGAATGAGCAACGAGGTTTGCAGAAATTTATGGAAGTAAGGGTCAGCTTGGGAGAAAGAACAGCAGTTCCTCCCTACCAGGAGGCCACGTGGTTCTCTTTTCCCATGAATGGTGTGGGCTGAGCCAGTGTTCTCTCTGCAAGCCTACTTCGTAGAGTGGAAAGTCTTTCCCTGACTCTATACTGAATCATTTCTGGACCAGAGCAAAAAGAGAGAGGCATTGGAGCTGGGAAGCCTTTGACTGAACAGAAGCAAATATGTTTAAATTAAGGGAGTAGAAGGAAGTTTTAGCTCCTTTGTGACACTATGACATTTTTCCTGTACCTGCCAACCCATAAAAGATTAGAGGAGGATGGAGTCTGATTTTCATAATGATTTTACACCAGTAACATCAAGAAAACATGGGGAACATATGCAGACCTTGCCCTTACCAACTGTATTACCTTGTTTTCTGCAAAGCATTTATTATTAAAGATTATATCCTCCAGAAATGAGGCAATTAAATCCATTCTAACAGTTGATTTTTTTTCTCTCCATCATATATAGTTTCTGTCTTCCAAGTGAGGAATAAAATTTAGGATCACAAATGATAGGACTCATAACCCAGAAACCCAAGAGAGGTATGGAATAGTAGTAAAAACTGAACCTGGCAGCTGGTGTCACTGCAGAATTTTGATTTATTTCAGTATTGAGGCAAAATATTTAAAAGGACAAATAGTCTATCTTGAAAGGAAATAAAGTTTTGAAGTTACTGTAAGTAAAATCATTGCTTTCTTTACTGGCACCTAAAGTACTTAAGCAAGTTCCTCACTTGGATGTTGATGTAACTTTTTTGTGTGTGAAACATAGTTAAATGCTATTTAAATTAGCCCATTCTTTAAAATGTTTCAATAATTCCTTGTCTTCCCATTGGCTAACAGGTGACTCAAAGGATTTAAGCATGTCAAACCTAGATAACCTGCCTTCCTAACTTCCTTGAGGCATATGGAAGAAAAGCAGCTTTTACTGGATTTCACATCATTGTTGTTTTTTATTAATGCATACTTAATTTTCCCTTTAAGCTTCACTACTTCCTCACCTTTCAGCTTTGAGTATAGTTATTTTTAAATGAATATATTAGTTGCCTGATGCCACCATTTAAAAATAAACCAAATTCGAAGAGCTCCACCTTTTCCCCAAGAGATTCTGCAGATGGCTAATTGAGGATTCACTAATAAACAGGGGACATACAAGGTACCTGACACTTAGTAGCTGCAATGTGAACCCAATACTGAATCTGAACTCTGATCCATCCAGCCTTGTAATCTGGCCTCATAGCGACACCAAGGGATATGTTTGGTAGCAGAGAGAGTTAACTGAATTCAGCTTGAAAAGGCCCGCACTGTCTCTTTCAAGTTCAGTCATTCGTGAAGTCTGTCAAATACTTTCCTTAGGATACTTTAATGAGTTCTATAAGGGTAGTGTGAAGAATAATTGTTGTTTGCCTTAAATTTCCCCTTTCAAGGGTTGCTGTCATTTTTAGGATTGGTACCCAAATCCTTTCATTTACCATAAGCATTTACCCTAAGCATGCACTGTGTGATGTCTATCATAGTTCTCCAGAATCCTAATTCTTTTTAGACTGTTTTCATGTGCCTTTAGTTTTGTAGTTCTTTCAACCCACCAAAGCATTGCCCCTACCAAAAACAAATAGTAAAGAATTTGTAACCACTATGGGAAAGGTCATCCCTGCTGAATTGAGTGGGACCCCTGTATTCTCTACAGCTGGGGAGAAAGCCTGCTGCTTCGAAATTAAAACTGGAGCCACTGTAAACATTGGCATTAGAGGTCCCTGAGAGAAGTTTTACCCTTAGGTCAGGGAGGCAGTAGGGTGGAGTGCCAGGCTTTGGAGTCATGTAGACTTGACTTATTTATCCTCTCTAAGCTTCAGGGTTCTTATGTATATTTTGAGGAATGATCACCCTGCCTCACAGTGTCCTGAGAATTAAGTGAAATGATTCATGTAAACTGATAGCACAGTGCCGGGCACAGAGTGATAAGAGATAACTATCACCCTTGTTGCTAACACGTGTCCATATTTATTTTAGAACAACTCACCAAGATAATTTACAACTTCACGGCTAACTGGGTCCAAGGGGTAGGAAGCCAAGTCTCCATGGCCCAAAGTAGCGCCCTTCTTTCTGCCATATTTTCTCCAAAGTTTAAAAAATACTGGATATTCTTCCTCACTTCTTGACCTTTGCTCACCCTCACTTTCACTCTTTTCTCAAAAATATTTTACTCATCTTCTGTCTGCCCTGAAGACAGTTCTTGGTAATGCTTCTGTATCTATATGTACTTTCTCCATTTAAAACATGCATTAATGAGTATGACTAAATTAAATACATTTTCTTATATTTTTTCCCCATTCTTTGTGCTTTATTTTTAACATTCTTTAAATTCTCCCAGATATTTATAGTTAAAAAATTTTGGAACTATAAGAATGATGGACACTCTTTTGAAGAAGAGGAAACCGAGTTCTAGAGAGGTCCCACGACCTCTTCTCTACCATCTAATACACCAGACAGCATTACTGGCACCATACTATCTCTTTAACTTTAAAAATAGCAGCCAAGCCTCCAGCATTTGTGGGTTTGCTTCTAAATTAATATAAAACAAAGTTTATAGATATGATCTTGTTTATTTACAAGATACTACAAACCTTTTATCTTTTTCCATAAGAGAAATTTACTTAAGTGTGTGTTATTTTTTAAAATAACTGAAGACAAGTTATGCTAGCCCCGAGATCCACTTCCTGTATGATTCATTGTGGCTTATTAAGTGATTGTCCTCGTGGGTATTAAAAACATGAGCTTTTATTTCCTGCCAGTTGATTACATCTTCCCTCTAGAGAGTCATACTTCTAATCTGCAAATGGCAGTGTGTACTTTTTCCTGAGAACTAAGATAACAAAAAGCATCTTTAATTATTAAAATCTTATCATTCATCAGCTTACTGTTTTCCATAAAAATCAGAATTACCAGGTGGCTTTATGTTTGTTTATTTTTACAAAGTCAGCAATACATCTCTTTTTTAACTTCTTAGGTTTTAATGGGTTCTCTTTTTCAAAACTGATTTTTCTTTTCTCTATATCGATCAAATAAATGCTTGTATTTCTGCTTTATTATTCCTTAAGTTAATTTGCACTCACACAGGCAAGCTAATGACCACAAAACCCAAAGTGTTTCTTTGATCGACTTGGTTTCTGATGTACATGGCATCTGTTTGGACAACTGGGAAATCATGGTGCCACATCCTCGTTTACGACACCTTTGTGATTGAGTAACACCTGATATTTCAATTTTCGACACAGGAGTCATAGTCCTAACCATTTCTAATGAATGTATGTCCTAACATATTCTCTACTGCATTTTCTTTTATTCTTAGTGACATGATCTATTTCTACATTTTTAATCTTCAAATTCTCTCCCTAAGGGGCAGAGAACATGGACCCCACAATGCTAAATTAAATAGTGTATATTCGTTTATGTTCTCTCCTAAGATGCTTTCATTTTCTCTTTAAAAAGAAACATTAGTGTTTAAGTCCTTGCCTCAGTATCATGTCCTAAATGTACTCTTATCTTTCAGCAGTACCATCCCTTAATTTTAAATCATTTTCCCTTTTTTATAGGATACTACAGACTATGTTGCCTACGTAGCTAAAGATCCAGTTAATCAACGAGGTATGGAAAGCAACTTCCAGATTTTCTTAAGAGCTGGTATATACCAACTTCAAAAAGTAACAAGCAGTTATTTTCAATATACAGAGTGCTGAGGATCACTAGAGTGCTAGATTGGATTCTAGAAATATTATGTAAATTTGAATTGGAAATAAACAGCAGAGCAAAGTAGAAAAAGTACAGAGGCGGGATTTAAATCCCAGTCATTTGAGAGACCCATAAACCAAAAGGCTTATTATCTGTTTGTTTAATTGAAAGAGAAGCCGTTTTGATTATGACAGAAAGGGCTGGCTGCAGCATCTCCGGTGGACAAAGGAATAATACATAAGACCCAAGCTTGTAAGGTTATTGCCTGCACTGGCCTCAATAAGTGTGTGTGTGTGTGTGTGTTGAGCCTATGCATTTACTGTTCAAGAGCCTGGCATGCCATTTTGCACATTTAGCTTTTCATCTTTTGGATCTCAGTTTAAATGTCTCTTCTTCAGAGAGAACTTCTTTGGGTGACAGCACCTTCTATCCCCAGTTAACATATCCTGCTCTGCTGCATCATAGTTCTCTTTTGATTAACACTTCTCCCACACTTTTATTATTTTATTTACTCACTTGTTGATGTGTTTAATATCTGTCTTTTCTACTAAAAGCTCCATGAGGGCAGGAACCTGTTTATCCTTTTCACTATTGTTTCCCAAGCACTCATTACAATGCTTAGCATATAGGTCATACCCAATAGCTATTTTGTTGAATGGCTGAGTGAATGGAAGTGTGAGTTGATTGGATTTCTCATCTCAGGATTTAGCAAAGTTGCCTAAGAAGTTCATCTGCTAGCGACACTTTGGGTTAAGGGCCTGAGGTCATTGGACCTCTCTGGACAGAGACATAGTACTGCTTCTCATCCCTAACTCCAGGTCATTCAGACTCCTCTTTGGGATGTTTGGTTGCTTCTCCTCTGTAACTAGAACCTATTAGTTGGGCAGCATCCTCTGCCATCCCAGGGACAGAATTTGCCCCAAGACATTTATTATGTATACATGGAGTGGAATTTTGAAATTCAAAAAGCTGTAAGACACAGAGATGGAAATGCATATAGCATGCTGAGGAACAAACGAATGAACATAGTGGAATGTAGATTGTGTATGGAGAAAAAACCGCCTAAAAGGCATCTAGAGGGCATATAGGAGAGAGCTAATAAGTAGGGAGTTCATCCTATGGCAGATGGGTGAAGAATGCTGTTTATAAAGCAGAGATTTAAGAAGATTGATTTTGCATCAGGAGGCAAAGATGGATTCAGAAAGAAACTTAAGGCAGGGAGATCCATTTGGAAGCTATCGTGATTGTCAGGAATGAAGTTATGAGGACCAGCTGCTGGTACAGAACCTGGCACATAGTAGATGCTCAGTTGATGCTTGCCAGAAGAATATGGCCATGATAAGATGCAGGGGAAGGAACAGGTGACAAATACTATGTACTACTCCACTGAAATTGATTCACTCCTAATGATAAAATGAAGAATGGATAATGGTCAGAGTGAGTAGGAGAGACAGGAACTAGCGAAGGGGTACGGGGGTGTAGAAACGGAACACAACAAAGGATACCAGAAAAGAGCAACCTTTTTAAATTAAGCCTGAGCTTCCCTAAAGAATAGTTGCATGCTATTTTGGGGAAGGCTTCTGAACAACAAAGTCTTTTATCTTAACCTGAAAAGGACAGGGTGAAAGGAAGAACAAATCAGGAAATCTAGATGTTTAATCACTTTGTCATCAGCCACTCAGTATCTCTGGGCATATCATTGCTCTTTCACTAAGTAGTGGTGAGGAATTCAAAGGTTAATGCCAGTTGCCGAGGGTAATGGCCAAACAGGATCTACATATTTGCTAATATCCCCCCTTGCTTAAGTGAAACACGAAAGGCAGAGGAAATTTTGATGTAGCTCATTCACTTTGAAAGATCCTGTTTTGTTGTTTTAGTTGTTCATCAGAGCTGAGCTGCTTAAAGGGGATCCACAGGGATTCTGGTATAAGGATTCTGAGAAGGCATTTATGAGAGCTGTTGTCATGAATGAGATTTGAGAGATGAGAAGAGAATGGACTCAAAAACAGTCCAAATAAATTTCAGTCTTTTCTTTCTTTAGCCCCCCAGATTGTATAGAAAACAGGAAAGACGCTGGAGTCAGACAGATTGGGTAGGAATCATAACTCTTCCATTATCTCACCATACACATGACCTTAGTCAAGTTGTTTCACATCCTTGAACCTCAGTTCCTTTAAATAGGAATTATACCATCTACCTGCCGGTGGTATTGGGAGGAGGAACTGGGATAGCACAGAAAGGATAATTTCCTTTCCTCCCTCATCGCGTCTTTCCTTCTTCTTTGGGGAAACGGTTCTATAGATGACTTAAAAAAATAGGGTAATTTTCTTTTCTCCTCATCCTTTCTCTTGCTTATCTTGGTTATAGAAGCCTCTGTGAGAAGCCACTCTGTTCTCAGCATAGTCCTGCTTGTGTACTCCTTTAGGATTAAATCGTTTCCCCTCACCTGGGCATCTGGACTTTAATTCTACCACAGTGGTACAGCTTTCAAGTCCACAAACAATTGTTAAGTACATACTGATATACAAGGAGCTAACCTAATCATTGGGAAGAAAAACAATTCTTGGCCACCACAGGCTCATTATTTAGTGGGAGAGAGAAACATAACCTTTAGGATGTGCACAGAGAAGAAGAGGGGGCCTAGAGAACAGTGCCTGGAACATAGCAGGTGCTGTCAGGATTTGTGAGAGAAATGAACTAAGACACAGATGAAAGAGCCCTGTAAAGAGAGCTTTGGGCTGTGTGTTTGGATGGTGTGTGTGTGTGAGCACGTGTGCATGTGTGTGTGCATGTGTATGTGTGTATGTAAACTAAGGCACAGATGAAAGAGCCCTGTAAAGAGAGCTTTGAGCTGTGTGTTTGGATGGTGTGTGTGTGTGAGCATGTGTGCATGTGTGCATGTGTGTGTGCATGTGTATGTGTGTATGTGTGTGTGTGTGAGAGAGAGAGAGAGAGAGAAAGAGAAACAGAGAGAGAGAGAGAAAGAGAAACAGACAGACAGACAGAGAGACAGAGAGACAGATAGAGAGACAGAGATAGACAGAGAGACAGAGAATGAGATCAGGCCTTCAGTACGGGTTTGGAAAAACTACAACTACAACTTTTTAGCCCTAAGGGTGAGCAAGATCACCAAAGGAAGAACCCAGACAGAAGAGGGCTGAGGGTCTCAGGGAACGGGAGAAGTCAGGAGATGGTGAAGAGCCAGATGAGTAGTCAGGGAGAGGGGGGAAAACCAGGAAAGAGTAGCACCTAAGAAGGAGGAAGAGCGAGTTTCTCTGGGAGAAGACAACCTGGAATGTTTCATACTGAAAAGGACTTAAGGGGAATGAAGATGGAAAATGCCATTTAGTCCAGCAATTAATAGGCTGTTGGTAACCTTGGGAAGCACAATGCCAGTGGACAGGTAAAAGCAGAAGCCAGACTTCAGGGATGAGGAGGGCATGGCTGACAGGAAGTGAAGACAGGCAGAGGAGACCAGGCTTCATGCTAATAATCCTGAGTGTTCCCACTGTCTCCTGTTTTCTTGATTCGCTGTTAGCATTAATGCATTCAAATCAGGGCTGTTGCCACTTTTTTCCATCTTGGCTAGGACCCTTTAGTGAACTCTTCATTTTATAAAAGGCCTTTTCTGTAGAAAAGGTAAGTTCCAGTAAGAATGTTTTGAGTTTACTTAGTGACTAATACAGACTGCCCCTGAAATTGCCAAAAATGAGGAAATCTCTTCATTTCTTACTCTAAGTGTGCAGCAGTCCAGGAAGGTTTTAATATTTTCTCTGAATCTAGTCTAAGAGGCCTGGTTTACCTGGACTACCTGGATATAGGAAGGCCATAGTTCTGGGTCTCTGAAGAAAGTAAAAAAGAAAAAAAAGACTGTAAAGCCAATTTAAATTAACCCATTTATTTAATTTATGTTTATGATTGTAAAATACATGTACTACCGTTCTTGTGACATTCATTAACTAGACTGGCTGACCTCTAGCTTGCTTCTTCAGGCTGGTTTCTTCCCAAGGGATGGTGGACCCTATGCTTAGATCTCACAGCGCCATCTGGTGGTTAATCTGAGAAGCTGCATTTTTGAATTTCTGGTTTTCTAGTAACAAAAACAACAAACGAAACAAAACAAACCGGTCTATTAAAAATAAATATAAAACAGTAAAGAAGAGCCTGTTGTCCTCTAAGAATAGTCTCAGCCTTTTGTTCATGACTATCTCTTTAGGAAGCCAAATGTAAAAGACAGAAGAATATGAATCTAAGATTCTTTTAAATCCTACTTAATATAGTACCTTATACCCAAAGATAGAACTGTGGGTCTATCTGACTATAAGGCTGAATGAAAAGCACCCAGATCTGCATCTGATTCCAGACATGGAGATCAAAGCTTAGGCCTCCATGCAAAGTTATCATCTCACTGGAAAGTCAAATTCTCTTTTGGGAATTCAGACTTTTTATATACTTGTTTTTCTTTCTTCCCATTTGCTAAAGGTCAGGCAATTCTTGTCCAAACTGGCGGCTTATCTGAGTTTTTGGAGATGTGTTTAACCTTGAGAAGGGAGCACACTTGTATGTGATTTAAAGCCCGCTCATATTCTGGCCCACGACCAACCTAAAAATGAGCCAAGGCCATTTTCACAGAGCAGCATGTGAGTGGAAACAATCGCACTGTCAAAATGTGTGTGTTCCCTGAAGGTGGTGAGGCTCCACAGAACATTTGTGCAGGGTCAGCCTTTTTGTCCAATGTTGCTACTTTCATGAAGACAGGCACCACTGATTTTTGTTTTCGTTTTTGTTTTTTTTCTGTTTAATTTTCTCTAACAAGTAATATGACATTAACAAGGTTACCCAAAGTTGATGTTGGTAGCATCAGCCCAGGAACAGGACCAAAACTTTAAAGTATCAGAATTGGAAAAGCTGAGAGAAATAAAACATTTTAGAAGTATGTGAGCAGTAGTAGAGGACAGTTGTGGTTTTGGTTGATTTCATTCATTCCTGCGTGCCCAAGTGCCTTGCCCTTTTCCACAGAGGGTTTAAGCCACTGAGATAGAGGAAGGATAGGATGGATTTATATAAAACAAGAAGGGACTTCTGACATCATTCAGTGCCCTGTCTTGGCAGGTAAGGACCTTGCTGTAAAGTGATTTATTTGGGGTCACACAGATTGCGGTATAATTCGACCTTCAACTTGGGTCTAAATCTTTTCATAGAGTTCTTTTAAACATCCTGTTCTCTCATCCCTCTCATGGGAGGCACGCTTTAGTCTGTTTCCTTCCTTCCTGCCTTCCTGCCTTCCTGCCTTCCTGCCTTCCTTCCTCTTCTACTTTTTTTTATTTAGGAATTTCCTGCCTCTCCTTCCCCATCTTTATCTCTAGACATCTCCTTGATCCTAAGAAAATGGGAGGCATAGTCTGTTTCCTTCCTTCCTGCCTTCCTGCCTTCCTGCCTTCCTGCCTTCCTTCCTCTTCTACTTTTTTTTATTTAGGAATTTCCTGCCTCTCCTTCCCCATCTTTATCTCTAGACATCTCCTTGATCCTAAGAAAAAATAAAATTACAAAAATTTTCATCTCTATTTTGATACAATTTCTGGTCTTTTCTCCATTTTTAATTGGACTGGAAATTTATGAAATGAAAAAACAAAAGAATTCAAGTGAATTACCTTTTATTTTTTATCATAATATAATACAACTTTTTTCGGTTCAACTGGAGGACACATCTCCAAGGATAGTTTGTGGGTTTAAGACTATGAAGCCTATCCAAGAAGGAGGAGACCATTTCCACAAATGACCCATGCAATTATTCATACCACCCCATAGATTAAAAACCTATCCCACTATGAGGGCTCACTGCAGGTCTCACTTCAGGAAAACTGACAGTTTCTCACGGTAGAATTATTACTGTGGTTTAGTGAAATCAGTATTTATTCATTTAAAACATTTTTAAAACAACTTCTGTGCATTGGTCACAGTCTGAAGCTATTGTAGAGAAAGAGAAAGGGCAGTATAAAATGTCAGATGGACCAAACATTTGGTAGAAAGGATGTAAATTTATAGATATTCTTAATTGAGTTTTCAAAACTGTAATTAGCTCCTAGTCTATTTCAGGAGCCAAGTTGCTTCCTTAAAGGAGCAATTTTATAAGAAATGATCAATAACTCTTGGAGATTTGACACCTTCACATTGTGTCAGTTTGGTAATACCACTCCCTCATCTCTTCCAAAAGTGTTCAAAAACATAAATCCTTTAAGTAAACATCAAGCTAATCTGAAATTACAATTATCTGATATCCCTCGAGATGATTATCAACATAAAGCTAAGAAATCCCATTGTAGCTTCTACTATAACCTAGTGTTATAGGCTTTGCAAATTTAATCAGATGTGAATGAATTGCCTCTTTAAGTAAATACAAAATTCTTTCCAAGACAATGCAAAGCATAAAACCATGCTTCTAAGTCAACACAGTGAAATCATTCCATAAACACAGGTATTCCTCCCCTCCTTAGATATCCCTTTTAGTAATGTGTTCCAGTGTCGGTTTCATGGTTCCCAAGACCCAAGATGCTTCCCTGGCATCTAATTTAATTCCTCATGCACTCACTTAAGCCTTTCCTATTCTCAGAGAACAGCTGACAATTTTTACAACATTCGTGTATATATTTAACCATTATCAAGCTTTTCCTCATCCCTCGGTTGTTCAGGCTATACCATAAAATTTTTCAAAATTTCTCATGAGTCATCACCTCTATCTTTGTCATTCTTAGGGCTCTTTCTAAGCCATTTTATTAAACTTCAAATTCAATTAAATCATCTTATTGCAAGGCCCTAAGCATGACATCACACTCTGAGACAAGAATAATATTCCATATGGTGGGGAGATTAATTTATGGTCCCTGAACACATCTGGCCTCCTGCTTTTATGTACAGCAGCAAATTTGCTAATTCATTTGTGATAGTCTGTCAGCTGCCCCTTCGTAATTTATTTCTTTAATTTGCTAGTGAAAACTAGCCCTTCCCAGTAACTGCTTCTCAGAGAAAGTGTTTAAGAAAAAAATTAATGTCTTCTGGTAATGTCATCTTCATGAAATCTTGATCTTGATTCTTATTGAAGATACCTTTCAGTAGAGTTTCAAGGATGGGATTACCATGCCATCACTGCTAGCATGAGAGGACAAAGTGATGGCTAGAGGAGGGGGTATTCTAAAGCTCTTATCTTCACTAGTAGCTCATCTCCCATTTTGGGGCAGTGAGGAGGTGGGAAGTTACCTTTTTTCAATCTTCTGCAGCATACCATGCAAGGAAAAGACTGAAAACCTCATCTTCCCTTCAGATTGCTGCCTAAGCATCTCCTGTATTGAATTCTAGAGCTAACACTGTACATGAGTATTCGTCAATATCAGTCTACTTTTACAAAAATGTGGGCCCAGAATACCTGCCTTGAGACAAGAATTTGTAGATATTTTGAGATATTTAGGTATAGAAAATGTATATTTCTTCTCTTTGATGCATATCAAATATGTAGTATTGTAATGCCATTTCAGAGCTGAAGAGAGCTTGTAAATCTACTCCCTTTTATTCAGTTACCAGTTCATGTTCTGGAAGTATTTTGACTTTATATAATCTTCTCTTACTGAAAATTTATTATAATTTTTTGTATGTCCTTTTGTAGCCTGCCACATATTGGAATGCCGCAATGGAATGGCCCAAGACGTCATAACTACCATAGGGCAGGCTTTTGAGCTCCGGTTTAAACAATATTTGAAAAATTCTTCTTTGAATACTTCTTGTGAAAGGTCAGCCAAGAGTTCTGTAATTATTTGACTTACTATATTTTGTTTAATTTTAAAATTAATATGGCATTTTAAAATCGACTAACGAAATTAGTAATTTTTTTCTTATAAATAGGCACAGTTTGAGCACAAACTAACAGTGACATTTTCTATTTTTCTTCCCTCATAGTTGTCCAGATACTTCTTCTTGCTTTGTAACAAAATTAAAGGAGACACTTAAAGTGAGAAGGAATCAGCCATGTTTTTCTGATGTTATATAGAGCTATGAATCAATTCAGTAGTATCATAAAATAATAAACATCAGCAAATTTCTCAGATTTGTTTTGACCATAAATCCCTTGCATATCAGTGAAAGAAAAAAATCAAGAATGAAGAGCAAAATAAGAATCAAATGTCTATTGCAGGAATTCCTGTTAGTTTGCTGGTTCGCAATGTAAATAGATCAGCTCCAGCTAACCTGTGGCAAGGGTGGAATACAACATGACCCAAAGATCTGGCTGTTCTGTCTAAGGCAGGGTTCCCCAACCCCAGGCTGGGGACCAGTCCGTGGCCTGTTAGGAACCAGGCTGCACAGCAGGAGGTGAGTGACAGGTGAGGGAGCGAAGCTTCATCTGTATTTGTAGCCGCTCCCCAGCACTAGCATCACCACCTCAGCTTCACCTCAGATCATCAGGCATTAGAGTCTTATAGGAGTACAAATCCCCGATGCCAAAAAAGTTGGGGACGTCTGGTCTAAGGCACAGGAAGTTCACAATGAAAGCTGAACCCTTTCAGGCCTGTCAGACTCTACCACGTCTGGAATGCAATGAGACCTCTGGCTCACACCTGAGAATTCACACCTGAGAAATGAAACTCGGGCACTTGTAAATACATTTCTCCCCCTAATTTGTCATTTTGTATATCAACAAACACTGAGTTTGGAGATAGCCCTTTATGAGGTAGTTTGGGGTAGCAAAGGAGAGGGGGTTACCAGAAGGCCTTGATGTTGAATTTCCCCCAGGGTAGTACTTACATCTCAGTGCTGTCATTTCGTTGACATGTAATGAACCCAACAAAACTGTGTGTATTGTCAATGGAATCAGTTCAGTCCAAAAGGACTTGATTTATTCTTTTTCATAAGAAACTTTTACTAATTCCAATTTGGAAGAAAAGTACATTTGTTTTTTTGCCCTGTTTCAATTTTAAAAACAATGCATGTTTATATAAATCTACCCACTTGCCACATATGGTTCTAATATTTCTTTATGAATTCCATACACGCCTCCAGATTTGTGCAGACAAGATAGCTGGCCATAGCTTTTTTTTTTTTTTTTTTCATATTGGTTTAATAAAGTGGGCAGGCCCTCTGCCCACTGTCTAAATTTTCTTTGAGCAAAACACAAAATGGTGCAAAGTGTGCTGGAGATATCCAGGAAAACCTTGTATTTTTATATTTTACTGAGAAAAATGCCTTACATTCAGGGAGTTCATATATATATATATATACACACATATTTTTTTTAATTGCTGAGACAGGGGAGACACACAAGCATCACCCTTGGCACTTTTTGTTGGCTTACTCCACTTTGTCTGTAGAACTCTAGACAACTCAACCATCTGGTTGCTTCCATCCAGATGTTTGACATCATTTAAGCACATCTATAAACTTACAACATGAATGCAAAGTTTTTCAGGATGATTTGCATGGTTCTGATCCCTCTGCATCCCCTACAGCATTTGAATTCCCGCCCAGCCTCTTGGGGATTCTTTTTTCCCTTACAGTGAGGAGGTGCATATTGATGGCCATGCTGAAGAGAGAGATCATGAGTATTACAATGAAATACCAGGGAAGCAGCCACCTGCAGGTGGTGTTTCGGATGTGCGAATCAAAGTTCAAGCCGCAGAACAAATGGCTTACTGTCCCATACGATGTGAAAAGTTGTGCTATTTGGTAAGTATGTTTTATTGTTATTGGAACTAGCAATGCAATTCTGTCCTTATCACTAGGGAGCTTAATTTGAAGGTTTCCAAATGCTAGTTTGGAGAAAGTATCATCTTCCTCAATACAGAGCCAGACAGTGAGTCATTGTCGGAGCCCGTAGTAGATCATCTTTACTCCTAATCCCCCAACCTCGACCTCAGCAACTGACCTCACATCTCACTTCACTGGGAAGATTAGGCCAGTCCAATGTGTTATCCTCAACTTCACCCTTTCCCATCTCTCAGTCTTCCTATATTCTCGCTTTTCTTCCTTAGTTACTGTCTCCACAGCTAATCTTTTCCCTAAGCTGCTGATCCCGTCCCCTCCTACCAACTCTGTGCCTTTTCTGTCCATCAACCTCTGTCTCAGTCTTTATTCTCTCTCTGTCTACTGATTCTTTTCCTTCTGTCTGCAAATAAATTTGCACTCCTATAACCCAACTAATGTCACACTTCCTTCTCATCTTCCTTTCACCCACAGATTTCTAGAAAAGATTCCTTTACCTCTGCATTCACATCCACACTGCATTTCTAAGAACTCTACTTGACAACTTTATAGAAGTTACTTTTATAGTGGTCACCAATATTTTTTTGGTCACCAGTGGTTTAATTGCTAAATCTATTTCCTTTTGACTCTGTCTACATTTGATACCTGTTAGCTACCTCTTCTTTTCTTTTAGACCTCTTCCGTTAGCTTCTAAAACATTTCCACCATTTCATTGTCATCTCTAGTTGCTGTTTTTCTTTATTTTTTCATGTTTTCCGAATTTTGTTATGAATATTTTCAAACATACAGAAAAATTGAAGAAATTATACAGTGAACACAGATACTCACCATCTACATTTTACAATTACATTTTACTATATTTGCTCTGTCATCCTATGTAGTCATCTATTATCCATCAATCCATTGTATTTTTTATGTGTTTCAAAGTAAGTTGCATCTTTTTATATTTCATATTTTTATACCCCCACTCCTGAGAACCAAAGCCCTGCCTTACCATCATGAAAGCACTCTCCAATGCTTTGCCCTTCGGCCTGATTTCTCCTCTGGCATACCACCTAAGTATGCACTTCTCCAGCTTTTCTGTCATTACCTCTCTCCAACTGTAATGCCATATCCATTGCATTACTTGTTTATATCAAGATTGAACCCAGCATTTTCTTTTTGAATCCAAAACAGATTCCTCTACTGATTTACTCATGTTTATTAGTGGCACTGCTACTCTTTTTCTAATCTATAGTCTTGTTTTTCTCACACTTTGGGCCCTGTATCAATTCAGTCTTTGAGACCTAGGATTCCACCATCAGAATATCTTTTGCATCTATGCAAACTTTTCCATTTCTATTGCACCTTTCCAAGTTCTTGTCCTGACTTGCCCAGATGATTCCGAAAGCCCCTTCTTCACTGAAATTGTCTTCAATTTCATTCATTCCTTCACATCTTTCTACATGATACTACCAGATTAATCTTTCTAAAGTATAGATACTACCCTTCTCAAAGACATCATTGGGTCCCATTCCATTACTGAAGAGAGCTATATGTATAAAGAATAATTGAAGCCCTTTGATAGCATGGATTTTTTAAGGATGAAAAGTGAGCCTGGCACAAACCTCAGCAGAGTACTTCGTGGTTACGTAGAGGTTTGCTAAATGGCTGGTGTTTATACAAGTGTCCTGGAAATCACACTTTCTGGTTGAGGCTTGGATTGAGTCCTGGTATGTGACTTCCCAAGCAGAAACAGTAACCTCAGGATACAGGCCTTAGGGCCAAGTGGCAGCCTTGAGGACCCCCACCACAATCAGACCCATCTCTGCAGCTCCAAAGCCATGCACTATGAAAGAAGTTTACATGGCCCGCTCCAAATGTCAGTTTCTTTTCTTTACCTGTCAGACACTTCCTTTATTAGCAAATGAAGTTGTCTGGATTCTTCGGCTGGGAATATTATTAATATTTTGTTTGTTTGTTTTTGCAAATTTATGAATACATACTATGTTTGTAAATGTTTCATGATTTATTATTCATGCAGCCTGGAAACTCCAAGTGCAGTAGTGTATACGAGAACTGTTTGGAACAAAGCAGGGCAATAGGTAGGTACAATTGCCCTTCCCCATCTGCCCATCCTTATTCCTTTTAAATCATGCAGTTCTGTACAGCCCTTGCCCTTAAATACTCCATGGAGAAGGCAGGTGTGTATGACTAAACGTAATACTTCAGCTACGGGCTTCCCACATTTTGTGAGGCCAGAATGCCACCTGTGTGTCATTCAGAAGGCTCATTGTTCTTCCTCTAGCACACTATTGTTCTACCTTATGGTGTTTTTCACTGCTTTGGCATCATGGAGGCTCTGACTGGAAGGGCACTTTCTCTGCTCAAAACTCAAAGGAGTTCTACTTCAAAGAAGATCAGACAGGCTAATATGTGAAAATTAATGCTTGTCAAATCCATTAGAATTAAGATAAAACCTTTATTTCTGCTTAGCAAAGGGAACAAAAAGAAATTTGAAATGCGAGAGTCCCAATTAGGGTCCTATCCATCCCATACTTGCCAGGGCATCAAATGTCTAATTACTGCTCACGCTAATTGATGTTGGGCACAGCTTTTCCACAATACAAATGTAGGGCATCGACTATTATATTGGAAATATACTTTTGTAAAAATAAGTTATACTTCTAGGTAGTCATTTTATTCTTATAAATCATTGAAAGTATTTATTCTTTGGGAAGAAAAGATTTGCAGCTATAAACAGAGAGATAACTGGACAGAATAAGTAATACAGTGGAAGGCAAAGTTGGATGACCACACTTAGGGACACAAATTAAATTAGCAGGAACCCGCCATGTAAGAGGTAGTCACTTCCAAGGATGCTTTTGTATTTCTTATGGAAATATGCCAATATAATCTATTAATTTTATTATTTTTTATACAGTAGGGGAACCTGAGGATTTATTGTTTTTGCTACAGTTATGATTACTACTTTCCTTCAACCTAAAAAAATAATAGGAGTAGTGAGCTAAGGTAGTATTTAAATTTAAAAAATATATATGACTCCTTTTGATAGAAATTAAAATTGCATACCATTTTTTAAAGTTATTTAAAATTTCAAACTAATTCTCACTAGTATGACTAAAACAAATTAAATTAATGATAAGTGTAAATGTCTTTTTAAAACTATTCTCCCTAGGAGCTATAATTCCTCCCTCCCTCTTTTCCCTTACTCTGGAAATCCCTAACCTAAGGGTTTAATAGTCAGAAACATGCAACACATGCCCTGTCATATCGTAACTATTTTCTATCTGTACTGAAACTCACTTGGAAATAGTTCCACATCCTGTTTTATCTCATTTATATTTTTTGTTTATTCAATAACTTACTCAACGACTGTTTACGAAGACCTCTTGTTAGTCAAGCACTGAGCTATAATGTTTCCTTAAAAAAGCAGATTATAACTTCCAGTGTGAACCAGAACGCTTGGGAGCCACTTCCCTAGACTTTAGCAACTTAGACCGTGGTGGGATAGAAGGACTGAATGCCTGCTACAAGGGCCATAAGGAAGATCTCTCCATTTGTGGCAGGAAGGACTTTTCTAACTCAATGTCCTTTCATCCACAGATGCCCCAAAATCAGGTGTTCCCCTTTGGGGCCTGCCTGTGACTACTTCGGCTTATGTTTAAAAAGCGATCTAAAATTTTTGATCAGTGAACAAATTCTTGCCAGACTAGCAAATAGACATTTTTATGGGTTTTCCCAGAGATTCATACATAAGCATTTGAGAGACACCTATACAAATATTTTCAATAAGATTTGGCTTTTCCTCCCAAGACATTTATTTATTCAAATATTGACTTATAACTTGAATTCTGGTACATTATAAATACTGCAGTAGGCCTCTGGTTGTTGAAAGAGTTAATTTTATTTATTGCCAGATGTATAAAAGATCCTTATCATTAATAATAAATTCTCTTATTGAAAAAAATAATTAGCAGAATAGAATGTTTCTCCAACTTTCAAGTTAAAATGGAAATGTTGATATTTTTAATCAAGAAGATGTTAAATTCCCATAAATCCTAAAGGCTCGCGCTTAAAACCGTTGGTATTTACAGTATATACACTGTGCGTATATTTATTTTCTGCCACAAATCTTCTCTTAGGCAAGTTGGATAGGTTCTCAGAATAATACTTGGCACAAAGAACTTTTGGAATGCATAATGGTTGGCATGTGTAGTTAAGCTCTCATCAACCACACACTTTACCCTAGAAAGATTTTAAATTTGGGTACAGGGTGAGATATCTTTTTTTTGTTTTTAATTTAAGACAACATTGCTGGCTTAAATATAATGGCACATTCGAAAAAAACGAAATGGTAATTTTCAAGAGAGACTGGATATAGACATTGGTGCTTTTGTACAATCCTGTGGGATGATAACCTTGATATGGTCAGTTCATGTCGGTGCTCTGTGAGGTGTACGCGAGTCAATGACCTGTGCTAAAGGTTGGCTCAGGGTCTTCAGAACATGGTGGGATCAGATATGTTCAGAAAGGAAAACTAGATAGATTTTCAGTCATCTTTTCATTCAGCTGACAAAAATTTTTCTTTTGAGCATCTGCTTTCTACTGGGCATTACAGATACAAAAGCTACACCAATAAATGGATTCTATTCCCTCCTCAAGAACTTAAGGAATTTGTAGCCTCAAAGGGAAGATAGACAAGTAAGCAGATACCTACAGTATATCATGGAGTGGCACCTTACCCAGCCTAGGGCAGAGAAAGACTTAGGGGAAGGCTTCCTAAAGGAGGTGGATTCAGAGCAAAGTCTTTAAGGACAAGTAGAAATTAGGTAAAGAAAGGGATGGGGAGGATATTGCAGCAAGAGATGAGCAGCATGTGCAGAGACCTAGCATCAGTGAAAAAATACATGACCAAGAAGTGATAGGAACTACTTATTGAATGCCTACTATGAGGCAGGCACTGTGCTCAGTGAATGTCTCACCCACATTCTTTCATTTAATCCTCATGACCATATTTTAAGTTAAATACTCCCATTTTACAGATATCAAAACTGAGGTTTAGAGAGGTTAAGTAACTTGCCCAGGCCACGCAAATAATAATAGGGATCTGAACTCAGGTCCATATTAATTTAAAAGCACATCACTTACAAACACTTTTGATCATATTTCACTTTCACTAAATTTTCCATGAGCAGGCACTCCTAAATAAATGATAATTCAAGCATATAAGTTATATACACATATATTAATAATTATGCATGTATTATGAAACAGAAAAATAGAAATTTTCAAAGTTAGAGTTAATAATAAACATTTTAAAAAGTCTTGCTTATTACAATGGCTGAATACTATCATTAGATAATATTTCAAGGCTTGATGTATGTTTAGAGCATTTATTGATAAAGAAAATTGACATAAATCCACATTTCAAATCTTTTGTATTTTAACTTTTGGGGTGTCAAAATATGGATCTAATTAGATCATTCTTATTTATAAGCTCTAATGAAGCTAAAGAGGAGCTTGTATTAAGAGTAAAAGAGTAATCGTCAATCCTTGATTTTTTTTGCAGTGATCTTATAGCCACTTATCCATTTGTGAAATTAAGTTTGGTTTAAATTAGATAACATACTTCATAAATCCATTTAACCAAGCAAATGGAAACTGTCATATGTTACAAAATGCTGCAAAAAAATTAGGTAACTTGTCAACTTCTCCCTCTGTAGAATCCCACTCCTCCCTCAAAATATCTCACATACAGAGTATGACATGGGACAAGGTGACATGTAATGCTGACAGACAGACAAAGAGTAAAAGAAGAGCGGATAGTAAGACTAGTCTTCTGACTTGGCTTCCCTTATCCGGTGTATCCTTAGGTTTCCATACTATTTACCATAATAGGAACTCCAATATGAAGTTGATCCTTTTTGGACCACATGGAAGGGGCGCAGTGACTGAAATAATAGAAGGACTGATGTTTTTATGATAAGATAACAGAATATCAGTGTCACTACTTCACGTGGAGCCTCCTGGTGATCTTGTAGCACAAATGGCCAAAACTATAAATGTGCTTGTTTAAATAGAAAAGCAAAAATATTCTATTTTCCTGACATTCTCAAGACAGAATCATCTGGTTGGTACAAAGTACTTCATGCCATAAGGTAGTGAAATTCGGAGCTAATATTCATTCAGTAACTGTTTGTTGGAGTTATTTTATGTGCCAGGCATGTGCTAGGAGCAGGAGTTTCAGCCACAACACAGACGGGACCCCTGTCTTTAGGGAACATGCAGCTTTAATGTTTGTAATAATACAAACATTAAAAAAATAACATAAGCAATAGGACTTATTACTTGTGTGATACGGTCTTCAAAGGTGAAGTACAAACTGCTAGGAAACAGAGGGACTCAGTCTAGTCTGACGAGTTAGGGAGGATTCTCTTTAGAAAGTAGTGTTTAAACTGACATCTAGTAGATGAGGATGATGAAGGGGAGAGAAGAGCATGGCAATCAGAGAAGATGGTCTTATAGGGAGATTAGACTGCAAGAAGGCCAATGTGAGCCTGGGCAGAGAATGGGGAGGAGAAGCTGGGTACCTGGGAGCAGGAACTGGGGCTTGTTCAAGAGCTCTATCTGAAGAGCAGTGGGAAGCAATAAAAGGTTTTTAAACCTCTGAGAAATATGATCAGATTTTCAGTTTAAAAAAAGTTTTCATTTTGGCTATAATGTGTAGAATTAAATGGAGGGGGAAAGGACACAGTAAAAGGGAGGGAGGAGATAATCTGAGGGCTGAGTCCTTTCGGTTAAATAACAGAGTAAACACCAGCAGTTAGTGCAAGGCTGAGCTTGGCAAAACAAAACTTTGGACATAAAGAGAAGAGAGACTTCCTGCTCTTAATAATTTTAAATCAAGTAATGAGTTTTTTGAAAAGGAGTTTAAATAATTGATATTCAAGTTCCATATGGCATATGTGTTTTCTTTGTTCCTGGACTGCAGCTCTCAGCAGTGTTGTGTATGGGTTTGTGTTGTTTGCTGGACAGTTGGCCTTCTTCCTCCCCTGGCTTTTCTTTCCTCTTTCAGATCTTCCTACTTCTTTCCTGTCTTCTGTTGAAGCAGTGTGTCAGCTGACGGGTGGGTGAGGGAGGGGCAAGGAGAGGCAGAGAAGTCAATGAGTGGGAGCTTTCCCTCAAAGACCATAGCTTATGTTGTTTTTCCAGGTCAAATCTAAAAGTCAGTATTCAATCCTTGTATGAGATGGGGGTGGCTTTCGCTTCCTATCAATTCTAGACTGAAATATGATTTTATTTACTGTTTATAAAGCAAAAACATGATACACTGTTCATGACTAATCACTACAGGTAATGCCCATGAGAGAGAGGTACAGTACCAAAGAGACACCTCGTTAATGAAGCACACATGTCGAGTGGATCTCTTCGATGATCCCTGCTACATTAATACCCAGGCTCTTCAAAGTACACTTGGCTCTGCCCGAAATCAGAGCTCAGATCACTCGCTGGGGAGCCCGTGGCACCGTGAAAGTAAGTAGCTGCTTACTGTCTGTGTTAGCTTCCTGTGGCTGCCGTAACAAATTACCACAAACCGGGTGTCTTAAAATGAGAGAAATTTATCATTTCACAGTTCTGGAGGCCAGAAGTCCTAAATCAAGATGTTAGTTGGGTCGGTTCCTTCTGAAAGCCCTGGAGGAGAACCTATTCCATGCCCCACCTAGTTCGTTGGCTTATGGACACATTACTTCAATCTCTGCCTCAGTTTTCATATGGCCTTCACTGAACACTGTCTCAAATCTTCTTTCATTTGAGAACAACAGTCTCTGAACTTAGGGCTCACTTCAATCCAGGAAGACCTCATTTTGAGATCCTTAATGACATCTGCAAAGACCCTTTTCCCAAGTCAGATACTGGGGATTAGGACTTGAATCTATTCTTTTGGTGTTACTGTTCAACTTAATACACTGTCTGTCATTTTAAAGAAGGCTATTTCCTTGGCCTCATTTTCAGGGAGCTAAAGGGATCCTTTCTTACCCCAATCCATTACCACAGTTAATAACAGAACTTTGTGGAGATATGGATTTCAAGGTTTTGGGACTTTGATTTTGAATAATCTTTTCAAAGACTTTAAATTGGCTCCCAACTTTTGGTTTTTGCTGTGTACTCTTACTGAAGGAAGGGCTGTCAAAGCCAGGAGATAATTTTGAACTTGTTTGTTTGCATGAGGAACAATGGCCATGATTTAAATTCTGTTTGGTGATGCTGTTAATGTTATTCATTTCAAAACCCTTGGCAAGTCATCTATATAGCACTAAAATAAGATGGCTTCTTTCTTCAACCATATACTGTGAGTAAAATACAATTAGATTTTACTTAATCTTAAGCTATATCACTTTCCTGCAAATTTTCTTCCAGGGGCAAGTGCCTAAATAGGAACATAAATAACTGAAAGTGAAACAAGCCAAAAGCCTACAATCAACAGAAAAATAAATAAACAAAAAATGCTTTTTATAAAATATTGAAGCTTGTTGGGTTCAGAGATAGGCTATGTGTCAAATTTGGTTCATTCCAAAGATGGAAAACCAGTTGAAGAACGAGTCCTTTCACTAGCCCAGAAGTCTTTCTAGAACTGCCAAGGGGCAATTTTGCAGCTAGCGTGGCTGAAAGGCAAGAAGAAATTTAAAACATTTTGCTGAACTGGGGCTTAACCGGATCACCTTAACTCTATGGCCTAAGAAACAAAGGTCCTCATTGCCAGTCAGGTGGCAAATGGGCCACCTTCTCTCAAGCTTTCTAAGATCAATCTTGGCTCCTAAACCACTTGGTTAGATTCTCTGGAGGCAGACACTGCGATGGGGCTTGTCATGCAGGGTCTTTATTGGGATCAATATCAGTAAGTAGATTTGGGCAGAAGGAGAGATAGAGCTGCCACACAGGCCTGACAAAGCCTCAGCAAACCCTACAGAGAGCGTATGGGGCCTGTCAGAGTTGCTCCACATTGGACGGAAAGGACTGGGCCACACGAGGACTTGCCCAAGGGCAGGGCAGCTCTCTGCAGCAGAGCAGACCCTGAAGAGATGGTCAGCTGGAGGCTGGCTGCTGACACCTGGGGCACTTGGCTCTTCCTGTCAGGGGGAATCTGGATAGTGCATCTCTGTGTCTATCATGGAGAGCATCGTGTGCCATGGATAATGGGATATGCAAAGAATTCAGATTTCTGCAGTGAATTTAACTTCATTGTGGAGTATCCTGCGTGGATAAGGTAATATTTGTCAGAGGGACAGGTTTTTGAAAATAAGTTTCTGGGCCCCAAGTTTCAAAAGTAATTTTATAAGAGTATATACTTGATAGCTTCCATTTCATGGACTTTTCAGAGTGGCAACATGTTATTAGAAATAAGTCCCAAATTAGGTGATCTGATCTATTCCTTGAGTCACAAACTACAGTTCTTTTATAATCAAGTCTTTAATGTTAAAAATCTTTGTAACTCAAGCAAAGAAACTTTGCTTCCTGATAGATAATTTAATAATATGAAAAGGCAAAATTAATCCATAACAACATTGCTGCCATTGGTCGAAAGTAAATAAGGCTCTATCCAAAATTGTAATGTCAAGTGCGTTTTCACTGACTCCAGCTTTCTTTTTTATTTTTTTTCATTCTTTTCCCTCTCCCTGACTTAATAGCAACGTGTTTGATAATTTAGTCCTCTAATACTCTCTCACTTTTATTTCTTATTAGGATTTAATGTACTATAGCCCTCCTGGGGTTCTTGCTACCCCCTCGAGGTTAATTTCAGCCTACCATCACTCCCTTCAAAAATTTAGATCCAACTACAAAAGTATAAATAATGTCAACTTAAGAAAACTTAGTCAGGATGGAGTAAGGATAACTTTATTCTTTTCTGCAAAATATATTAAATACACCTTTTAACCTTTCTCCCCTAATATTTCCTCCTATTTCCCTCCTTCCTCCCTCATACATCCTGTTTTGCCTCTTTAGGCATATTTAGCCTTAGCCTCCCTTGTCCAGTCAAAAGCTTACTGATTGGTTCAGTAAAATAAAACAAGAACAGATCTAGAGACATGAACCTAATATCTCTCAAGCATCCTTCAGGGCCCCTCAATTCATCACAGCACACTGCCAATGTAGGAGACAGTCTTTATCTCAATAACATGGCAGAGGAAATCAATACTGGTACTGTCCAGTTTTTGTATCAATTTATTATTAGTTTTAGTCTAAGCTGCCATACCAAAGAAACCCCATAAAATATCATAGTGTAAAAAGGACTGAAGTTAATTTATTTTACCTGATTATCCAAAGATTGGTGGTACAGGTCTGGTAGGACCTTTGTCATTCTTGACACCTGGCTTCAATCTCTGGTCTAAGGTGGCTCCTTGGGCTCTCACCATCACATCTGTATTCAACCAGTGGGAAGAGAGAAAGGCAAGAGGAAGGAGTGCACATACATTCCTTTAAAGGAATGACCCAGAAGTGGCAGGCATCATTTCTTCTCACCTGCTGTTGGTGGAACTTAAGTATGTGGCCATACCTACATACTACATTTAAAGGGGCTAGAAAAATTACTCTAGCTGCGGGGGCTATGAGCCCAGCTAAAACTTGAGTTCTATAATGTAATGAAAGAGAGAATATATATTGATAAACAGCTGTCTCTGATACAGCACACCTTTCTGTCACTCAAATATCCATGAGCTCTTCTTTTCTCGTAGAACATATACGATTACAGGATCCAGCTCAAAAGTCCTTGACATCTGGGTGATGTGAGTCCGCTCCATCAAGGGATTCTTATAATTTGCCAAGTTGCCTGCCCCATTCTACAACTAAAATTAGCAGTGGAATTGGAATAAGATAACTACAATATAAACTCACATTCACAAAAGGGAAGCATGCAAAACACACAACAGTCACTGGTTTACAGCGATTACCAAATCCTGCTCGGTGGTGGTAATTGTGAAGGCTCCCTGAGCTGGAAGTAGAGAAAGTGATTTGCTTGGACTCTGGTTCTGCTTTATGAGAGGAGCATCCTTGTCTATTGTCATCTTTGGGTTTGGACTCTGCATTCTGGGCTGTTCTCGCCATTATCCTCCATGTGACTATTTAAAGTAGATATTGAAGAATATGACTTTCTTGGGGGCTTCACCACTTTCACAGCCTGTTTCTTATTTATGTGAGCTTGAGAGATTGGAGTTCACTTTAGAAGCCAAACAGCCAAACAGCCATAGACCAGGAGAGATTGCGATTTCTTTGGCAATGTAATTTCCTAAAAAATTTCGTAGGATTTTGCTTTATTCACTTAGACTCAGTTCTGCATGAAATTTTCTGTAATAGTTCTTCATTCTCTTATTGCCTGAAGGATGCCTTCTCTCTTCCTTGTTATTGGTACTTTCTGTTTTCTCTCTTCTTTTCTTGATCAGTGTCCATTGAGGCTTATTAATTTAATCGATCTTTCCAAAGTATCCAGGTTTTAGTTTTATTTGCTCTATTTTTGTTTTCTGTTTCATTGATTTCCATTTTTATCTTTATTATCTTTCTATTTGCTTTGGATTGAATTTTTCTCTTCTTTATCCAGCTTCTACTACATTTTCTTCTATTGGCTTTATAGTTCTATTTCTATAATAAAACATTTATTCCACTTGCACTTTATATTTTATGTGAGCTGGGGGGGAGGGGGTGTCTAACAATGCTATCTATGTAAAAGATCCAATTTTCCAAACACCATTGACTAAATATTAATCTCCTCTTTCTTTAATGTTGGTCTATATTATACTAGAGTCTTCCTATGGATGTGAATCTGTTTCTGAGCCTCCTATATATGTGAATACTTTTTCTATTGGCCCCTTTGCCTGTTCTATACCAGTATAGTAATTACTACATACTAATTACTATGGCTTTGTAATATATCTTAATAGACACATTATTATTCTTTTATGTTTCACATAATTTTTCTCCAGGTAGTATCTCAGCCTTTCATTTATGCTTAACATTTTATGTTAACATCTTTTACTAACAACTTTTTAGACACCTTATAGAGTGAACATATTTTTTCCCTCAATCATGCAAATAAGTTCCTCTTTTATAATTTTCACACACCCAGTAATTCATACTGATAAACAGTATACAGTTGATTCTCATTATTCATGGATTCCATATTTGAGAATTTGCTCACTCACTAAAATTTATTTGTAACCCCCAAATCAAAACTCGTGGCACTTTCGTGATCATTTGTGGAACTGCATTGAGCAACAAAAAATTTGAGTCACCCAATGTGCACGTTCCCAGCTAAGGTCAAATAAGGCAATGCTTTGCTTTTCTGTTTTCAGCTTTCAGAATGTAAACAAGTGTCCTTTTGCGGTCTATTTAGTGCCACATTTTTCACATCTTATATTTGTTGATGATTTTGCTGTTTAAAATGGCCTCCAAGTTCAGTGCTGAAATTCTGTCTAGTGTTTCTAAGCTCAAGAAGGATGCGATGTGCCTTACAGAGAAAATGTGTGTTAGGTAAGCTTCATTTGAGCATGACTTATAGTGCCGTTGGCTGCAAGTTCATTAATAAATCAATAATATACACTAATTAAGGTGTCTTTAAACAGAAACATGCATAAAACAAGGTTATATGTGATTGATGATAATGTTGTGACCTGAGGCTTGGAAGAACTTAACCCTGCATTTTTCCTAGAGACTGGTTTACTTTTCACTAATTTAGTGTTCTTGGCAACTTTAAAAATCGTAACTGCATGAGTAAAGAGGATTGACTACTTACCATCCTCCTGAATCAGAGATGCAGTCATTATAACATGTTGTGGGCAGAAAAGGGTAGGCTTTTCTTCCCACAACAGAAAACTGAGGATTATCCTCCAACACCGACAGGCTTTTTGCAAGTTTTTATCACTCTTCTGTTTGTGTCTTTAGTTATGTGGCTATTCTGACTTTTGTACACATTTTAAAGTCTATAGATTTTTCCAGTCTTTTGATAATATTATAACCAATGCTATCAGAAACATCCTTTTACATGTTTGCTTGTATCAATATGCTTTCTTCACAGTTCACTTTGGTTTCTTTAAATGTTTCATACTTCTTTTCTTATTGGCATTACTTGCAATTGTTTATTTCAAATTTTGCATGTTAAATTTTTTTCTCTTTCTTAAACTGCATTCCCTCTTTCAGAGATTTTGGCCATCAGAAGCATATGGGTGCGGATACTCATATCTATCTTGTGCTTTCCTGAAGTTTTGATTGTGAACAATATGTCTGTAGTCGCTAATGGGAACTCCAAGATGACATGATTACTTTCTTCCAATATTCCTAACATGTTTTTTGGGGGGGAGCTCAATTAAATCTAGAGTGGCCTTTTTTGTTGCTTCCTTAATCTATATTACTTCTGAGAAAATAATTTATAAAATATTATATGAAAATTATATATAACTATGTTTAAATTATGATTATTTTTTCTCAAAGTCAGCTTTATGTGAAGAAAGGACCAAAGTGATAGATAATACTATACCATGTTAAGAGCAGTTACATTTGGTGGTAGGGCCATAGGTGATTAATTTTCTTTATTTTTCTAGGATTTTCAGAAATTAGCATGTATAACTTTTAAAATTAAAACAAAAAATTACAAAAGTCTGTGAGATAGTCTCTTTCAGTTGAATTAGATTTCCAGCGAATGTTTGGATGATTGAAATCCCCTAGCACAGTGTATCTTGTCCTTGTGCTAGTTTGGGAAACTATAGTAGGAAAATATTGTCCAGATCATTTGGCTGGCCCATGATCTGTTGCCTCTTTTCAAGATGATATAATGTCTGTTTTTCTTTTGTTTTGTCCTTGTCCAAAAGTTCTCCACTGTAATCTCAGAATAAACCAAAAGCCATCATGCACTAAGATGTTTGTGCCCATACACATGCATGCATGCTTCTCAAACACACTTGCACAAACACTTTCTCAGATACACACACACACAGCTACTCATCAGACGTTCCGTATTATGCCTGATGGCAGGCAGCACTAAGACCAAATATAAGTATTATTTATCAAATCTAGACACGTTTCTTCAGGCTTTTTCTGGCAGCAATAGAAAGACCTGATTGTTCGTAGAGGAGAATGTTTATAGCCACTAGATATTGACCAAAAGTATTTTTAAAAGATATATTTATGAATGCAGCATCATAATTGTGCTACGGAGAGAAGTTCTTAAGCAGAGGCAAAACTATAGCATATTAACAGGAGAAATGGATTATGTCTATAGGGCACTGGTTGCCTATATCAATGACTTCATACAATTGTCATTTATAAGTTGTAAAACTCAAAATCAAGAGAATTCTTCATTTGTGAGACCCTTGCAAAAGGACATGTAAACACTTCTTTGCATTTACAAAGACAAAGGCTGGTTCCTATGCCAAAGTTCTTTTGCATTTAAAAAGACAAAGTCTAATTTCTATAGTTATTTTCCTGGTAAATTTGCCACATTGAACATATGACTTTTACTTGGATTCAGACACAAGAATTTCATGCCATTACTTCTGGAGATGCTATGTATCATCCTGATAGCCTTGATATCTTCTAAGGTCCTTTGTGGGTACTATGGAGTAGAGTAGCTTCAGACCACTTGTGAAAATGGAAAGGTTTTCACATCCAAGGCAAAGGCCTTAGAGTATGGTAATTAATTACCTGGGCTTTGGAGTCAGATCTTTTTTCAAACCCAGGTCTACAACATATTAGCAGTGTGACTTTGGTTAAGACATCTAGCCTTTTAAAGGATCTGTTTTTTTGCCTGCCTAATTTTGAGAGTCAAGCAAGATAATATATGTAAAGCATTGAGCAATGCCTGTCATACTCGATAAATGTGAACTGCACAATGATTATTAGCACTGTGAGTATGAATAGTACTGTTAAGTGTTACCTGGGTGTACCTTGTCATCTCCAGTGCTCTTGATGCTAGATAACACTTATTCTGCAGAGCCGTGGAGACCTGCCTCAGGCCATGCCTCCCTGATATTTTGCCTTCTTATATCTGATCAACTATATTTTGTTCAGGCAAGTGAATGACAACAAACAACAGAGTGCTTATTTAATAGGAACTCCATGAGGATCAGTATAGCTTTGAAGCGTTTGGTCAGAAGCATCTCTGAAGTACATTAGTAATTTGTTTTTTTTAAAAAGCTGAATGCTAAACAAATGGGCATAGTCCAAAGTTCCCGTAGGCATTTTCAAAGAGTTTGAGAAAGTCTTAGGTGTTATCTGTAATCCAGATATAGCTTAGGCCTCTTCATCTTCAACATTCAGCCCCTGGGACATAAAGAGCCTCTCTTTGATTATAAAAGCAATTCTTACGGGTCAGTTCCATTTCTCATCTGAAAGGAAAACTCCTGCACCTGCGTAAATCTTTCCTGGTAACAGAAGCCAAAGACAATGTTTTGACCAACCATTAAATTAGAGCTTGTTGGAAGTTCTAAAAACAAAAACTCCGTTAGTTCCTAAAATAGCATTATTTAAATAGTCTCTGGCACACAGTAGGGCCTCAAGTTATATTTGCTAAGTGAATGAATGAATGCATGGATGGATGAGGAGACAACTTGGTGATGTCTCTCTTTTGTATTTTGACTTCAGAAGCACCAGAAACTGTTCAGCCAGGTGCCATGGCCCAGCCTGCCAGCTCACATTCTTTGCCACACATTAAGCAGCAGCTGCGGAATGAAGAATGCTACCATGGCAAGCTTAGCAGGAAGGCAGCAGAGAGCCTCCTAGTTAAGGATGGGGACTTTTTGGTTCGAGAAAGTGCAACATCTCCTGGCCAATATGTATTGAGTGGACTACAGGGAGGCCAGGCAAAACATCTTCTTCTGGTGGATCCTGAAGGCAAGGTATTCCTGACTTCTCATTGTAGTATTTATAGGATGTTGTGATTAAGGTTACTCTGAATGATAGCCTTATATTGAAGAGTGTTCAAGGCTAAGGGTTTACTTTTTCTTGAACCATCCAGCTGGAGCAGAAAGTGCTATATTGAGGTTAGTGGAGGAGTTTGAGTGGGAGCCACCCTGTAGGATCAAATAGAAAACAGCTTCTTTCTGCCCTTTTCTGTTCGGTGCAATGAATTAAGTGAATGCCTATGTAGAAGTACAGGGATCCACAGGTGACCGTTGCTCAGAATCATATACATAGGCCTTGTTCTCAGGGTGCCTATAAATTCATTGATGCTTAGATAATTACAAAGAAAAATGACATAAGAATGATTCAACCAAAGCATTGTGATGTTTCTCAGGATAGAAGAGTGCTCTGGAGGAGTCAAACTGAAAGGCTTCTTGCAGGGTCTGACATGTAAGACGAACCTTGAAAGAGGGCCAAACTTAAAAAGAGAGGACATTTGGAGAAAAGAAGGAACCAGGAACAGGCAGAGCAGTAGAATGGTATTAAGCCAATAAAAGATGTACTGCTGTAACAGAGGATGCCTATAGACAGAAATGATCTTGCACTAAAAACAACAATATGGTAGTAATAAGCCCTTCCTTATCAATAATTAATTGTAAATAGTTTAAACTCTCCAATCAAAAGATGTAGAATAGTTAAATGGTTTAAACAAAAGAAGATCCAACTATACGCTTTCTATAAGAGGCTTACTTTAGATTTAAATACACACATAGGTTGAGAATGAAGAGAAGGATAAAGATATTCCATGCAAATAATAACCAAAAGAGCAGGGGTGGTCATACTTATATCAGAAAAAATAGACTTTAAGTCAAAAATTGTCAAAAGTGACAATGACATTATATAACAATGACATTATATATATCAGAAAAAATAGACTTTAAGTCAAAATTGTCAAAAGAGACAATGACATTATATAATAATAAAAGGATCAATTCATTAGAAAGACATAACAATTATGAACATATATACACCTAAAATCAGAGCACTCAGATATATTTCACAAACATGGACATGACTGAAGAGAAAAATAGACAGCAAAACAATAATACTAGGGGATTTCATTATCCCATTTTCAATAATGGATAGAACATCCTGACAGAAGATCAATAAGGAAACAGAGGGTTTGAACAACTCTGTAGATTAAATGGACATCTACAGAACATTCTACCAACAGCAGCAGAATACACATTCTTCTCAAGCACACTCAAAACATTAACAGGTTAGGTCACAAGCCCTAGGATAGATTGTATGTTAGGTCACAAACCAGTCTTAAAAAATTTGAGTTAGAAATCCTACCAAGTATCTTTTTCAATCACAATGGAGTAAAATTAGAAATTAATGGCAGAAAGAAAATACAATATTTACAAATATGTGGAAATTAAACAACACACACTTGGACAACCAATGAGTAAAAGAAGAAATGAAAAAGAAAATTTGAAAATATCTGAAGACAAATGAAAATGAAAACACAGCATACTAAAACTATGGAATGCAGGAAAAGCAATATGAAGTAAATTGACAGCAATAAATGCCTCCATTGAAAAAAAAAGAAAGATCTCAAATAAACAATCTAATTTTACACATCAAGGAAATACAAAAAGAATAGCAAACTAAGCCCAAAATTAGCTGAAGAAAGGAAATAATTCAGATTAGAGCAGAAATAAATGAAAGAGGAGAAAAAATTAGGAAAAATCCACAAAACTAGTTGGTTTTTTGAAAAGATAAACAAAACTGACAAATCTTTAGCTAAGTTAGCTAAGAAAACCAGAAGGAAGACTCAAATAAATAAAATCAGAACTGAAAGAGGAAACATTACAATTGATGCCAATTTATGACAATATGGATGGATCTTGAGAGTATTATACTAAGCGAAATAAGTCAGATGGAAAAGAATAAGAACTGTATGATTTAACTCATATGTGGGATAAAAAAGCAAAAAGAAACAAATAAACAACTGATGCCATAGAAATTAAATGATTATAAGAGATTACCAAAAATAATTATATACCAAGAAATTGGATAACCAAGGAGAAGTGGATACATTTCTAAAAACATACAATCTACCAAGATTAAATCATAAAGAAATAGAAAATTTGAACATATGGATTATTAGGAAGGAGATTGAATCAGTAACCAAAAACTTTCCAATAAAGAAGAGCTCAGGACCAGATGGCTTATTTGTGAATTCTACCAAACATATAAAGAAGAATTAATGCCAATTCTTCTTAAACTTTTCCAAAAAATTGAAGAGGATGAAATATTTCCAAACTTCTTTTATGAGGCCAGCATTACCCTGATACCAAAACCAAAAAAAAACAAAAAACAAAAAACAAAAAAAAAACACTACACAAAAAGAAAACTATAGGCCAATATCCCTGATAAACATAGATGTAAAAATCCCTAACAAAATACTAGCAAACCAAATTCAACAATGCATTAAAAGGGTTATCTATAAGCCATAAACAAGTGGGATTTATCCCTGGAATGCAAGGATAATTCAACATATGAAGATCAATGTGACATACCACATTAGCAGAATGAAGGATAAAAATCATACAATCTTCTCAATAAATGAAGAAAAATCATTTGGCAAAATTCAATACCCTTTCATGATTTAAAAAAAAAATTCAACAAACTAAGAATAGTAAAGGCCATATATAGAATACCCACACTAATATCATACTCAACAGTGAAAAACTGAAAGTTTTCCCTCCAATATCAGGAACAAGAGAAGGATGTCCACTCTTACTACTATTATTTGACATAATATTAGGAGTACTATCCAGAACAGTTATACAAGAAGAAGAAATAAAAGGCATCCAAATTGGAAAAGAAGGAGTAAAATGATCTCAGATGACAAGATCTTATATGAAGAAAACTCTAAAGATTCCACAAAAAACTATTCGAACTAATGAACAATTTCAACAAAGTGGCAGAACACAAAATCAACATACAAAATCAGTTGCATTTCTATACACTAACACTGAACAATATGAAAAGGAAATTAAGAAAACAATCCCATTTACAATAGCATTATAAAAAGAATAAAATACTTAAGAATGAACTTAACTAAGGAGGCAAAAGAGTTGTACACTTAAAGCAAAAGACTTGTACACAAAACATTGCTGAAAGAAATTAAAGAAGATGCAAGTAAATAGAAAGACGTTCCATGTTCATGGATTGGAAGATTTAATATTGTTAAAATGCCTATACTACCTAAAACAATCTACAGATTCAAAGTCTATATTAAAGTCTCAATAACATTGTTTTTTACAGAAGTAGAAAAACAATCCTAAAATTCACCTGGAACCACAGAGGACCCCAGATAGCCACAACAATCTTGAGAAAGGACAAAGCTGGAGAGGCATCACACTTACTGATTTCAAACCATATTATAAAGCTACAGTTACCAAAACAGTATTGTACTGGCATAAAGACAGACATATAAACCAATAGAATAGTAAAGAGAGCCCAGAAACAAATCTATGCATTTATGGTCAAATGATCTTTGACAAAGTTGTCAAGAATCCACAATGGGGAGAAGATAGGCTCTTCCAAAAAGTTCTAGGGAAAACTGAATATCCACATGCAAAAGAATGAAATTGGGCCCTTATCTTTATATCATACACAAACTCTACTCAACATAGATTAAAGATTTAAATGTAAGATTTGAAACTATAAAACTCCTAGGAGAAAACATAAGGGAAAAATTTTATAACTTTGTTCTTAGCAATGAGTTCTTGGATATGACACCCAAAACACAGACAACAATTACAAAAATAGGCAAATGAGATTACATCAAACTAAAAAGTTTCTGCATAACAAAGGAAACAATTCACAGTGTGAAAAGGGAGCCTACAGAATGAGAGAAAATATTTGCAAACTATATATCTGATAAGAGATTAATTTTCAAAATATATAAGGAACTCCTAAAACTCAATATCAAAATTGAAACGAATAACCTGATTAAAAAATGGCAGACGACTTGAACAGACATTTCTCTAAACAAGATATATAAGTGACCAACAGGTACATGAAAAGATGCTCAACAACAATATTGTCAGAGAAATGCAAATCAAATTCACAGTAAGATCTTATCTCGTACATGTTAGGCTGGCCATTATCAAAAAAACTGGAAAGAACAAATGTGCTTGGGCAGAAATTGGAACACTTGTGCATTGTTGGTGTGAATATAAAGCTGCTATGGAAAATTGTATGTAGTTTCCTCAAAATATTAAAAATATAACTCCTATATGATCCAAATATCCCACTTCTGGATATTTATCCAAAAGACATATACCCGGGGGAATGGTCAGTCAATGGAGCAGTCAGAACACAAACAATGTTTATTAATTAAGTTCTCTTAAGTGTCGTTCATTTTGCTCCCAAAATATTACAATAGTAACATCAAAGATCACCATAGCAGATATAATGATAATAAAAAAGTTTGGAAAATGGTGAGAATTACCAAAATGTACACAGAGACACAAAGTGAGCAAATGCAGATGGAAAATGGTGCCGATAGACTTGTTTGATGCAGGGTTGCCACAAACCTCCAACTTGTAAAAAATGCAATACCTGCAAAGCACAATAAAATAAAGAGCATTAAAACGAGGGATACCTATTTAGTGTACAATTAAAGATTTGTTCAAAGAATAGATCTGTTATGGGTTTGTTACTACACACACACACACACACACACACACACACACACACACACACAGCCTATATAATTGGGTTCACAGCAGCAGATGTTTGCAGGGCCTGGCCAGTACAGTAAGTGTGTAAAGCTGGGCAAGTGAAGGAATGAGCAAAGGGTATGGTGGATTGTGATGAACTGGAAAGTGCATGTTTTGTGTAAGGGGGCAGTCACCACTCAGCTCCAGTCACTTGCTGCCATTTGGAGTGGGAGCTGATGTAGTCAGATTCGATTTTTCCAAGGAAGCCACAAAACCAGATTTGACATGAATTCCCCTCATTTTTAATGTGAAATACTTAAAAATTCTCTTCCACCTTACTCCCCAGAAAACTAAAACACCTCCTGGTATATTTGGCCAGAGCGGTTAGTTTATAATCCTGCCACTAAGAAGATTAATTTGGCATTTATATGCAAGATCGATTAGAGAGAAGGGAAAGACCAGGGACAGAGAAAGTAATTAGGGGATTCTAGGTAAAAACAGTAAAAGTTTGAACCGAAATGGAAGCAAGGGAAATACGGAGAGGAGGGCAGAATGAGCTAAAATTAAGAACACAGACTGACAGGACTAATCAGCTGATTTGACTTGGGTTGGGAATGAGATGGAATAAATAAATGTCTACCAGTTTTGAAGCCATTTGAGAGTAAGTTGGAGACATCATGTTCTTAGCCCTGTAATCCTTTAGTTCGTATTTTCTAAGAAGATTCTCTTACATTGACATAGTACAATGATCAAAATCAAGAAATTAAAACATTAATATAATACCATTATGCAATTCACAGTTCATATTCAAACTTGGTCAATTATACCAATAAGTGTGTGTTTTTTTAATATTCTGAAAACCAATATCTGGAGAGAACCTAAAGAATTCCTTAAGGAGAGGTAGCAGAATTATATAACAAGGTGCTCCCTGGCTGCATGCCTTCCCTCTCCTGGACAGTTTCCAGCCACCCTCCAAACAGGAGTATATCATGGCCAGGCTACTGACCATTGGAGTCACGGTGGAGAGAAATGTCTTCTGCCCATGCGTAGGGTGAGCATGTAATAACACTAGAGAGGAAAGTCCACAAGAGAAGGTAGGCCTAGGGCACCTGAGTTCCTCTGGCATGCAGACAAGATGTTCTATGTAACAAATATTTATGACTCACTACCCTGAAGTCTGCAGGAAGGAGACACAAATACCTATTAGAAAGGTCTGAGAGCCTTTTTGGAGGGCACAGGATTTGTGCTGAGCCTCCAAGGAGAGGCAGGACTTCTCCAGAAGGGCCTGCTTCTACACAGACAGGATATTAATGGAAGCACTCTGCTTGGTGGGATTTAATTATAATCCTAAATTTCATGCTTGTGTACAACACGTTTCAATATTTATAAGAATAGTGACATAATAGAATATATCAAACCTTAACATGGCAAAGAGATTGATTGCAAATTTGGACTGGGTGACAAGTGCTTATCATTTTTCTAACGGGGAAGGACAGTTACTTTAAAAAGACAATAGAGAATGAAAAAAAATGTTCTAAAGGCAGAGTTAAAAAGCACCTTTTCTTTTTTTATTCAGCAAAATATCTCCTTCAAGGTTATGTCTGTCTCCACCCCTCACCCCAATTGTTTACATCTTTCAAGAGAACTGTTATCATTTAACCTAAACTCTTTTATGCTTACTTTTCAAGGTGAGGACCAAGGATCATGTATTCGATAATGTTGGCCACCTTATCAGATACCACATGGATAATAGTTTACCAATCATCTCTTCTGGAAGTGAAGTAAGCCTTAAACAACCAGTAAGAAAAGATAACAATCCAGGACTTTTGCATTCAAATAAATGATATTATGGAAATACCATCACACTGATATTTCAAGAAACTCCGCTTTGTGTTAGGACAAAAAGATAATTCAAACTTGGTTTCTAAATAAAATAAAACACAAACTGTAAAGTGCATCTTTCCAAGACCATCATGGATTAGGTCCTTTATAAAACAAAGAACTAACAAAAATTGATCTTCAGAAAGTGAAAGTCAGAAAAGGGGACAAGGATTGGTCCATTTGAAAATAAATTATACGTAAGCACGGATGTCACTTTTTAAGGCCATATTGCATTGATAACAAGCTAAAAGCACAATTAAAATTTCACATGCTAAAGACAACTTGAATGAACTGCTTGGGCAGTGGTATGTGCCTTTCAACTTGATAATTTGGGGACATTTTCATATTGGGGAGATTAGTTCTAAGTGTCTTCATATTCTATAACAATGGAACCATTTGCCAAAAAAAGTTTTTCTTTGTTATAAAAATAAGAAGCAATTTGCTTGTTGGATATTGACTTTATTATATTTTCCATTTAGTAACACTTTCACTTCAGTGTTAAAATAAATTTGACATTGAATTTGTCTATGCCAGTGGAATTGTCTATGCCAGTGGAATCAAATCAAAAGCCATCGAAAGCATTGATCTATTTCATTGGCCTGTCCCATTTGCTAGTTAAAGGATTGGGGCCTAAATTGTTTGGCCAAGTGTTTCTCAGTTTTTGCTGTTTGGACTATTTGTATGCAGAACATGACAAGCTGAAGAGGCCGAAACTATTGGTCATTTCTGATTTAATATTTATCCCTTCTCCTCTTCCCTGCCACCAAAAAAGTTCTTGAGAACACACATTTAAACAATGGCAAACAAACCAATGTTCTTCATATTCAGTATCCAGATTGGTTCCATTACTATTTAAAATACTGAATTTATTCAAGTATGGGGAGATAGCCTCTTGATTGGCTATGACTGAATGATAGTCCCTCACCTAATGTATCCATAGCACCTTTTTTAGATATGACCAGACAAAAATGCAGAAGAGAGAAAACATAGCACACAAAACTATTGGAAAGGTTTGTCACAAGTAGACTCATTGGTAAACCGATGGTGTCATTAAGCGTCATATAGGGAAAAGCTCTGGGATGGCTGTCATCAGTGTGACCAAGAGCCAGTTGCTGAACCTGTCTGGGCTCCAGTTTCCTTGTATATATGAGAGAGCTGGGCTAGATGAATTCAGAAGTCCATTTCAGCCCTAACATATTATGGGTCTATAAAAAGCCAATTTGCCATTTATTAGGGGTCAATGTTGATAACCAGTCTGTATAGTTAAGGTAACAACTTCGGTGTTTTCCTTAATCTGTGTCTGTACTCAGAATGAATGGCACAACTGAGATCAACATTCAGATAGCAGAAACCCCACACCTTTCAGTCAAAAACATTGAAACTTTGGAATAACATAAGTAAATACAGTACAAGTAGGTTCAGTTGTTTTGAGTAGCAGAAAACTGCTTCATTCCTTTACTTGCCTTTACATATAGAGATATGGTTATTATTATAGAGCGGGTTTTATTCTTAGCCTGAGTTATCTGGACAATTGCCTTAACTCCACTTCACTTTGGCTATGTAGATACAACTTAATATTTGTAGTTGTGATGTATTTGCTAAGTTTTAAATAAAATATGGGAGACTTTTTTTGGCTAGAAATTATCAGAAATTGAGCACACTGAACTCTAATGTTTTTATGTAAAGGTTTATGATTTTATTTTACTTCTGCTATTAATTTCTTAGGTCCGTTTCCTTTTATACAACTAGGAAATAATGTATTTTTCATCAGTTTTGCATACACTGTAGTTCTTGGTTACCTGTCTTCATAAAGTAAATCAGGAGGGGTAGAGATCATAGAAACTTATGGGTGATCTAATAACCTTTGTTAGAGAAAGAGAAGGGCTGTGGTCTCAGTCTGGCTTGAGCAGAGTGTTAGAAGCAAGAACAAGTTCCTGATACAAATAGATGCAGAGAGTATAAATGATGTGAGCAGTACATGTGGATAATCAGTATTTGAACTGTAATGGTATAGTATTTGGATGAGCAAATACTACGCTCAGAAATACCACAGACACAGTTAAAACAAAATGAAACGACAAAGAAATGTTTGATTGCATGCTATTTTAATGACACTTTTATCTTCATCTGTCTTAATGTGGAAATCTATTTGCCTATAAATATCTGTAAATGACTTTTCAAAAAAAATAAATAAATGATTATTGCTTTGTGACAATATGTCTGATGTTTGGGATTTGGAAAATTTGTCATTTGTAGGATGTGTCAGGGTCCTGACAGGAAACAGATGGCTTGCTTAAATTGGGTAATTTGAGGAGAATTTAATAAAGATGTGGGCAGAGAATGGGAAACCACAGGGGAGGATGTAGTTCCCTGGGGCCAGGGAAGGTGTGAGGAGAGGGGAGCAGTAACAGAAGGAGAGAGCTATGTGGCAGGGTTGCCTTTAAGGAGCTATGGCCTGTAGTGGAGGCACCCAACCAGTCCTAGTGATTCTAAGAGGCGGAGGCTAGGGGCATTATACTCAATGGACAGAGGACAGCCTTTTCAACAAATGGTTTTGGAGCGATTGGACATCTGTATGCAAAAGAATAAACTTCACAATTTATATATAAACACTAATTCAATCCGATTATGACCTTAAATGTAAAATGTAAATCTATGAAACTTTTATGAAAGAAAAAACTTAGAGGCCATTCTTCAGGATATAGGGCTAGGCAGAGTTCTTAGACTTGACATGATTCATTAAAGAAAAAACTCATACATTGCACTTCATCAAAGTGACAAAGTTTTGCTCTGTGAAAGACTGTTAAGAGGATGAAGGACAAGCTAGAGACTGGGAGAGAGTATTTGCAGATCACATATTCAAAAAAGGGCTAGTATCTAGAATATATTTTTAAAAAACTCTTAAAACTCAAAGGTAAAAAAGTCTAATTAGAAAAAGGGGAAAAATAACATGAACAGACATTTTACTGAAGATATACAGATGGCAAATAAGCACATGAATACATGTTCAACATCATTAACCAGCAGAGTAATGCAAATTAAAACCACGAGGAGATATTACTGTATACCTATCAGAATGGGTAAAATGAAAAATAGTGATGACACTAAACGCTGGCTGGGATGGATCGCACATACATTTCTGGTGAAAATGTAAACTAGTGCAACCACTCTGGAAAGCAATTTGTTAGTTTACTTAAAAACTAAATGTGCAGCTAACACTCAACCCAGTAATTGTACTCCTGGATATTGATCACAGAGAAATGAAAACTTGCGTTCACACAAAAACTTGTACGAGAATGTTCATAATAGCTTTGTTTGTAACAACCTACAACTGGAAACAATGCTAATGTTCCTTCAGTGGGTGAATGGTTAAACAGACTGTGGTACATCTATACTATGGACTACTACTCAGCAATAAAAAGGAATGAGATGCTGATAAGACAACTTGGATGACTCTCCAGAGAATTATGCATAGCAAATAAAGCTAATCTCAAAAGATTACATACTATAGAGCTATATTTATATAACATTCTTGAAATGATAAAATTATGAAAATGGGGAACAGATTAGGAGGTAAGGAGGAAGCCAGTAGGAAGAAGGGATGTGCATATAATTATTTGCATGAAGGATAACTGAAGGGCAACATGAGGGATTCTTTTGTGGAATTGTTTTGAATTTTTACTGTATCTATGTGAATATCCTAGTTATGATAATGTATTATAGTTTCGCAAGATGTTATCATTGGCAGAAACTGAATATAGCTTACAGGAGATCTCTCTGTATTAGTTCTGGCAACTGTATGTGAATCTACAATTTTCTCAAAAAGTTTAATTTTAAAAAAGTTAGTGGGAAAAACTGAGATACATCAAAAGATTTTTGAAGATTGATACTCTATTAACTCTTGGCAGTTTCACTGAACATACTAAATCCACAGAACATGGTGGTAGGATCATCTTGGTCATCCTTGTTCCATTATTCTAGAACTAGGAGGCATCCACTGGATGAGCTGCATGAGACCTTACTTTCATGAAGGGACTCAAATGTCAATATATAATTTCATCTCTAGAGACATGTTGATAAGATGAGAGGACGGCAAACACTGATGTTGTAGGAGATACTGTCAGCTCCTCCAGGCCCCTTTGGGTCCTTTGAACCATAGCTGTATGCCCCTCCGCTGGCTTCTGTGAATTTTGCTCCTAACTGCTTGTTCAGTGACTGTTTATTTTGAGGACAGCCTCGGGCCAGGGGAGCTACTCTGAGACACCAAGAGCCAGAGGAACCTGTGGGTTTCCTCTTCCTCTTCCCCACGACCACCACTGATGGAGAGTGGGAGAAAGCCCAGCTCCCTTGCCTCATCCTGATTGTACTGCAGAGCTCCCTGTGAGTCAGGCTGGGATGGGCACCCTGCTGCATGGCCTCTTCCCCTTCTCGGTCACCCTGACACTTTCTCTGGGAAGCCCTTCCTTAGTAAATCATTTGCACTCAAATTTTCACTGCAAGGTTCACTCCCAAGAATATGACTGACAACAGAAGAACATCAAACAATTTTAAGCATGTGTCCCATTACTGGACTATACTATCTATATGTTCAAAGCCATTAAAATTTAAATTATGTAGTATTTTTTGAATGCTATGATTATATTATGTTGTATTTTGTCAATATGCATCAAACATGTTATGTAAGCATTTAAAACATACACCACTTTTAAATCTTGTTTGGATATTTCTTTCTTTCCATTGTAATCTACTGAGTATTTTGAGAAACATAAGTGGAGTGATTTTGGGGAGGGTCTGCATTCTACTTTGAATATAATTCTTGCAGATTTGGATCTTTATCAAATGGTCATCATCACCTCTTCTGATAGCTTTTACTGGTTTTCTGATTTAAAAACTTGTGACTAAAAATCTTAAATATTAAATTCAGATAGTTGGTTCTCACATTCTTTTGGCCAAAGACCATCAAAGATACAAAAGGCCTACCATGCCACATACATCTCATCCCCAAACCCATCTTCCCCACTTTTTTTTTTTGGTAGAGATAAAGTAATCCAGCAACACTTAAGAACTGGAGAGGAATGATAGGAATTGTTTATTTACTTTTAAGGGAAGAATATGATCTCATTCATATGATTTTATGTCCCAAAATACTGTCCTATAAAGTTTTTGATAAACTTAAGTTTATCATTATTAACATTCTTCTCCAAAAAGTGGGAATATTAATTATCTGGTGTGTTTGGGCAGAAACTTTGCAATGTTGAATATAGAAATGATGAATAACCACTCTTGGTAAACTTGAATAAAGTGCTGATTTTAATTTATGAATTCTAAACATTAGTAACCTCTAATATTTTACTTGGTAGGTTCTTAATAGGTAAACCTTAGCCATATGTAAAGATAAAAACCTATAAAATTGCAGGTAATTTTTCCATGATAACTGATGAAATAACTTGCGTGCTTGTGTCATTCGATGGCCCATCAGAAAGACCCTTGAATGGGCAGTGGATGATGTTTGGAGAGTCACTGGTCTAGACTTTTTAAATATAATCAATCTTTCATCACAAATGCATCTTAGTCATAAATGTTTGTTTGCATTAATTTCCTAGGGCTGCTGCAACAAAGTAACTCAAATTAGGTGGCTTAAAACAACAGAAATTTATTCTGTCACAGTTCTGGAAGCTAGAAGTCTGAAATCAACATATTTACAGGGCCATACTCCCTCTGAAAGCTCTAGGGAAGAATCCTTTTTGTCTCTTCCAGCTTCTGGTGGCCCCAGGCGTTCCTTCGCTTGTGGCAACATAACTCGGATTTTCTGCCTCCATCTTCACTTCACATGGCTATCTTCTCCCCGTGTGTCCCTCTTCGTCCTCTCTTCTTCTTTAAAGACATGTCATTAGATTTTGGGTCCATCCTCATCCACCTCATATCAACTAATTACATTTGCAAAGATTCTGTTTCCAAATAAGGTCACATTTTGAGGTTCTGAGTGTACATGAAATTTAGGGGAACACTATTCAACCCCTACATGACCCAGGCCAGCTCAAGTCAAAAGATGTTTTAAGGTTCACAGAACCCAAGGAAAAGCTGAACTATCAGACTTCACAAAGTGGAAGAACCAGACAGATCCATGGCTTTGAATGACAGAAGTTCATCTTTTCTATCTAAGCTCCACCATATAGATGACGCAGTTATGGAGGTAGCATAGTTCCCATAAAATATAGACATGTGACATAAAAGTCTGCTTCTCTTCCATATGGTTACTGCCTGACTCAGTTTCGTGAAGTCTTATTTCAATTACTTGGGAAGGGAATATGACTGGCCTATCTTGGGTCTGGTGCTCACCTTTGACCCTGTAAGGTATGGTTAGGTCTTCGGGTGGTGGCAAGGTGATGATGGTGAGGCCATAGTGGCTATTGGCAAGAACAGATTCTATGAGAAGGGTTTGATTATGGCAGGTGTTTGACCCGTGTGTCAACATTAAATGAACCCCTGGAACTGTGCTTGGCACAAAGTATATGCTCAAAAAATATTATTGAATAAATATACTATGAATAATGGTCTGATCTTTCTCAGTTCTTTTGAGTACTTCTGTTTCCATCTCTAGCACATCATATTTTTGTCCCGTTCTCATAAATCTCTCTTGGATAAACTCCTTTGTCCCATTCCATAAGCTCCTGTTACCCTCTGCACATTCACACTTGTATTTTTCAACCATTCATTCTCAGAATATTGTAGCATTTGGGTTACAGCAATTATAACTTCCTAATTTTTCCTTACTACCTCAGATTCCAGTATGTACTCCAGCCCAATCAACTGTAAATACATAGTAACAGAATATAAATAATCTTTAAATAGTATTACTACATTTTAAAAGCTCTACCTCTGTAGAATGCTTCCCATTCCTCCAGGTTTCAAGCTCTTCTACTGACTACCTTCTTCCTGCCTACTTCTCCAATCTCATCTCTAAGTATAAGAATCTTTTGCTTTTGTTGGTCTAGCCTTCCTGTTGACTCTCTTCCTCTAGGAACATTCCCTGGTAGAGCCTTCATCAGATGTTCATTTTCCCCCAGAATTATTGCCTATTCTACTCTTATTACATGCAGTAAATGATTTTTGTGTCTTATTTGTCTTTTTATGTAAGCATCTTGTGCCTCAAATAGAGTGTGGGTACCTTGAAGGTAGGGGTCCTGTCTCACACTTTATATTCAAGCACTTAGG